GTAGGTATTGTTTATTTGCAGGGACCGCGAGGGGACTGTTCCTGTGTCGGCCGCCGCTTGGCGTGGTCGCCGAGGTCCGTGGCAGCTATCAAGAGGGAGTGGCGAGCGGGCGTGGGGAGCGTGGAGGTGCTAGGGCCCCTTGGTGACGCTGAAGGTGTGGAGGTGAGCAGGCCTTGGTGGCGGTGGGGGTGGAGGGCGTGAGTGGTTGGCGGCAAGCGTCACATTGCAGTCAGTGTCATCGCGCGATGCGGCGACGCAGCCCGGTTTGTGTGCAGTTTGCAGTTCACACCACCGTCGCAACGAGTTACGCGTTACGTCACGCTGCCCTGCGCCTCGCTATGAAGTGCGTGCCGCCCGCCCGTCCGAATGCTGCCTTCATCGCGCTTGTAAAACGCACTTCCGCCACCGCCGCCTCCCCGCCGACCGACCCATCCTGCCAGGGCCCGTGGCGAGCATCTCAGTGGGAAAGAAAGCAAAGAAACCCAAACACAGCCCAGCGCTAATCCGCTGAGTCCGCTGCAGCCTGCAGCTCCCGTTGGCTTTGGCCGCGCCGCCGCGCCGCCTCTGCAGACTCGCCCTCCCGCGAATGAAGCGCCAACGACAACGAGGCCCCACGGGGCCCGGCCGGGGGAGGCGAGATGCTCCCCGCCCCGTTACATAATTTGTCAAACGGCACTGCTGCTGCCGGTTTTGTTTCGCCCTCCCTCCGTGCGTGACGACGGGTCCGCGCTCTACAAATTTCAACCATTTTTCGCGGCGGCCGTTCGCTGCTCTAACCGTGTTTGCCAGACGACGTTCCGACTAGACCCCGCGCAGCGACGCGCAGCAAGTACTAGTGCGCGCTTTCATTTTTCTGGCTCCGCTCTCAGAGGCCCAGGCCGTTATTGATGCCCCTCTCGACTTTGTTGAACAGGAAGCGCGCCGCGTCATCGAGATTCAAAGCTGGGGTATGGCGCACGCTGCCATCTGATTCTTGATTCCCATGAATCGTTACGCCGCTCTCTGTCGCACTCAGGCGGCGTGCCGTGGGTCTGTGAGAGAGACAGGGCGGCGACAGCCGTCCTCGACGCCAGCCACCGAGGGAACCGAGGGTTGCTGCGACGCGCTACGCCACGCGGAAAAGTCCCGAGTCACGCCTTATTTCATCCGTCTTGTTCGCGTTCGTCTCGCCAGAGCTGTGGGCCGTCCGCGCGCCGTCCGTCCGCGCCTCCATAATGACTGTCCTGACCGCCCTGGCCGTGCTGGCCGCCCTGACCGCCCTGGCCGCCCTGACCGCCCTGGCCGCCCTGATCACCCTGGCCGTGCTGGCCGCTCTAGCCGTCCCCGGGGACGAGCGGACCACCCGAGTGGAACACGATTATTATTGTTTGCGCGGCGACGAGCGATGGCGTGGTGCTAAACGATTTGCTGTTCCAACTGCGGCAGCAGCAACAGCAGCAAACGTGTGTCCCATCCCACCCCCACCCCCACCCTACGCTAAGGCGGAAGACGGGCGATGTAGTGTAGGCTCGGCTCGGAAGGCTTTGAAGGAAGGAGGACGACTGCTAAGGCTTCTGATTTATTAAGTCGACGGCCTGACGCCCCTACACACGCACACACACACACACACTCTCTCTCTCTCTCTCTCTCTCTCTCTCTCTCTCTCTCTCTCTCTCTCTCTCTCTCTCTCTCTCTCTCTCTCGCGGCAGGGATGGTGACCGCAGCAGCTGTCCAACGCCCCCCGATGACGACGACGAGCGCGTCGCGCGTTCTTTATTTTGAGGCACGTCACAACACGCGCACCTTTCGCCTTTCGCGCGCAGGGCGCTTCGTGACGGGGTGCGTTCCGAGTCGGCCCGTGGCTTCCGTCCTTCCGTTCTCGCGTCTGGCTGGCGGCGGTTCCAAGAAGCTCAGCCTCCTCCTGGTGGCTAAGCTAAGCAGGCCGTCACGCCCGAGACAACAGGCCACGGTCGGAGTAACGGACTCGCTCTCTAGAGATTAATCTGCTTACGCGAAATGGCAGTGCATCCCCGGCGTAGTGCCCGGCTATTCATGGAGGGAACGAAAACACGGCGCGCAGTGGGCGGCGTGCGAAGCAGCCAAAACGGGGGTACCGCGCCGCGGACGCTGTGGAGCGGACGCACCCCGGCCCGACGGCCCGACGGCCGCCCCCACTTGTGGAAGCCGTTTAAGATAGCGCGGCCGGCAGCGAGTTCAGGGACAAGGCAGCTGTCGCCGCCACTTAGGAGCGGCACCTCGCCCTCTGGGGCTTCCCTTACAGGATTGAGACAACCGTCGCGGCCCATCGTGGTCCGTGGTTCAAACAGCCGCCAGTGTGCGCCCTGCGCGCCCTGCGTCTCATTCTCCCGACTGTTGATGGACTTCCATTACCAAAGGCGTTGCACCAGTCTCGCCGGAAGTCTGTTACCCCTCCGAAAATCCAACGCACACAAGCCCAGCGCCTCACGCACACACACACACAAACGCCTCTCGCTCACACACTCACAGGCGGCAGGCGTTGCGCACCCCAACCCACCGGGCTGGGATGTGCCGGCTATTTTTGTTGAACAGATGGCGAAGGCTCTAAGGGCGGGGAGGGCGGGTGGGGTGCAGGTTCGGAGGAGGGAGAGAAAGGATGGGGGAGGGGGGAGAGTGTGTGCAGTCCGCTATGACGGCTTTGGGCAGCCTCCCATCAGCAGCCCATTTTCGCCGCTCCTTGTGAATGGGTGCTTGTCGCCCGGTGTCCACGGTGTCCACGGTGTCCTCCGCGCTGAGCGATGGTGACGGCGATGGCCATTCCCACGCCACGCGGGACGCACGGCCGCACCAACGGTAAACAGACTCGTACAAAGGCAATCCTATCGCCGTCCGTCCGCCACCCCGTTCGAGCTCTCGAGGCTGCCCCACTGCGGCGTCTCCGCGGAGCCACCCAGCGGAACTTCCCCTGGCCGTTTCAGTGCACTGGCATCGCCGGCGGTTCGCAGACTTCCACAGACACCTTCCAAACAAACACCCTCAAACCCCCACCAGTCACGTGCACCATGATTTCGCTGGATGAAATTCCCCACGGCTGCGTTCTGTTGTCGGTCCCATGCCGCCTGCCTCACAGGCGTGCTGTGATCATGCACCGGTGCATCCGCCATGCTGCGAGATATCATTTTGTGGGTCTGGTAGGCCTCCAGACTGACTCCGAGAGTCGATTTCGTCGCTGTCTCTATCGCACGCGTAAGGCATCCCGTATAAGAGGGAGGGAGACAGAGCGACGAAAACGACTCTCGGAATCAGTCTGCTGGCCCCCCGATTGACGGCTGTCAACGGTGACGGCGCTGACCTCGACACTAATTACTCCATCGCTGCCAACGGCGCTGCCAGCCTGACGGCCCGGCTGGGCGGCCCGACGCTCGCTGACCTTTGGTGGAGAATGCGCGACCGGCGTCCCTCTTAAAGTTCAGCGAAAAGGAAAGGCAAAGGGACGAGGGGACAGTGGCGGTTACTCCCTCCTCAGGGGCCACTCGACGTGTCGCTGCGAGCAAATTTAAATCGACGGCACACTCGCAGAAAAACGCATTTTGGAAGGAAAACAAGGCACTGCACCGAGCTCAAAAATAAAACCGTAAAAAAATACGAACAGAGGGGTTGAAAGGACGAGACACTTTACCATAAAATTAGCGCTAATTATCTTCCTTGTGCCCCGAATTTTATGATGCGTGCCGCCTACACTAGCTAACTCAAGGCGCACTCGTGTTCAGTACCAGCCGTGCCAGCACGTATTTGTTGTCGTCACGAAGCCTGGTGGAGGACGGAATGTTGGCGGTTGCCACCGAATTTGCAAACTGTTCGCTGTTCCTGGGAATAACTTCCTCTAACGCCTCACAGGCGCCACCGTCGCGAGTGCCGGTGTCGGTCCACCTCACCAGCAGCACACAGTGGCACACGGGGAGGGACTCGGGCGGCCACCACCTGTTGCACACCGTCACGTCCGGACGCGGCGCGGCGTGCGGCAAAGCGGCAAAACAACAACAAAGACAAGTAGCTGAAAGTCTGGCGGTGGCGCGGGGTGAGGCTTTGGGCGTCGTGCGGGGTGCGAGCGAGTTACCCTTGAACTCCCGTGCACTGCTCACTGCTCCCCGGCGGCCATAAGTCACCGGGCAGTTTGAGCAGCGGGGCCCATCCCCAGCCCCAGCCTGCCCCAGCCCTGCCGACTGAATCCGAACGCGGCTGTCTGTCTCTCTCGCACTCGCAGTTCGTTACGTAGGGGTGCGAGAGAGACAGAGCGACGAAAGCGGTGCCTCGAGGCGTGCGTTCGCCGTGCTTCGTGCCCGGCTCGCGAGTCAACAGGAGGGGCGGGGCCCCGGGCGGGGCACAGCGGCACAGCCTCCTGCAGGCGGCCGTGGCGATGCCGCCCCACAGCCCACAGCTCACAGTTCACAGGCAGGAAGGCTCTGCCGCCGCTTGAAACTAGAATTACTTTGAATTTGCGGCGCGGCCGCTGCTGGCTGCCACGGCCAAGGCACCAGGCGCAGGCCGGGCACACACACCACACACCACCACGCCGTTGCCCTTGAATTTTTTCGCGACTGTTGGCGGCCCCGCCGAGACGCAGCGTGGCGCCGGGGTGCTTTGCGCCTGGTGGCTGGGCTGGGCCGGGCTGGGCCTCGAGCTGGGCCTCCACGCCCACCACCCCACCGGGTCCCCGCCGGTCCCCGCCACGCCGCGCAGTGCACGGGGATGGCGTGGGCGTGGGCCGAGCCGGGCCGTGACGTGCAAGCGTCAAACCTCACGCCAAACCGCGCGGCCCGCGCCGCCGCTCGGACAGATCGGATCGACTCGGGGCTCCTGGCATGCACGCCGAGCCACGCCGAGCCCTCTGCCTCGCCTCAATCTTGTCCTTGGCTGGGGGCGCCGCGCCGCGCCGCGTTCCGTCGTCGAGCGTCGAGCCCAGCCCAGCAGGCCCCGGCCAGCCCTGGCCATCGCGTCGTCGTCGTTGTCGATGGCGGCGTCCTCGTCGTCGCTGTGCTCACCTCCTGGATCTTGTAGCTGGTGCGGGTAACTTTCCGCCGCACCTCGGACTCGTACGTCTCCTCCACGGTCCCCATGGTTAGCTTGGCGCACTGTCACTCTGGTTCACTCAGTGTTCACTCGCGGGGGCGGCACGGCTGCGGCGCTAAAAGGCCCGCGACGGCGGCGGCTCGGAGGCGGCGCGGGGCTGGCGCGGGGGCGGTGCGGGCACAACGCGGACGACGGCGGCAACAGTAGTCTTAGCACGGCGAGGGCCTCGGCGGCCGCGGCGCGGTGGGTAGCGACGGAGGGTTGGCTTGGACTGACTGATGGTGGCTGCCAAGCGCTGCCAAGGGTTCACGCCGGCTCGGGGCCCGCGGTGGCGCGGCGGCGCGGGGCGGCGGGGCGGAGGGGCGGTGCGGGGGCAGGGCGGCCGGCCGGGACCAGAGGGCGAGAACAGAGACGCCTGCGGCGCCCCTTCGCGCCCCGCAGCCCCCGCGTGGGCCCCGCCAGCACGGCAGCCGACGGCAGCACAGGCCAGGGCGGTGGCGCCGCGCCTCGCCGCCACTCCACGCCACGCCACTCCCAGTCTGTGCCGATACCCCGCGCCGATTCGGCATTGGGTGCAGGCGAGCTTTCTCTCTGATAAAGGTGCCACCGGCGCGGGGTAGCGGCCACGCGGACTGGGCCAAGCAGATTAGACAAGATTGGCCCAAGGTTGCCAACACACTCGACAACCACCTCCAGAAAACTCGAGTCGGAACTTCTTGATTTGGATTCACAGTTTCAATGAGACCTCTCATTTCCTGCCGCTTTTCTTCGAGCAGCCGTCCGGGTTGTGTGCGGGTGAAGTCATTTTGAAAAGAGGCAGCAGAGGACGAGTCGCCTGCGTCCTGAGTTCGCCTCTCCGTCCCGTTGGTCCCTGATTGCCACTTTCGACGGCTATTCTCATCCCGGACCCTTCCCGCTGCGCCCTGCGCCCTGCGTCCACCAGGGCAGCGGGGCGGGACGCGCATCAAAAGGGCGACAGGGAAGGGGTAGGGGGAGACTGACAGCGCGCGGGGCTGATGACCGCGGATTGTCCCAGACCCAGGGCCCAGGCCCCAGGCCGCGGTTCGCGGTGTGGGCGCGCGGCGCGGCCAGGCGACGACTTCGACACGCGGTCATTACTTTGAACGCGAACGCGTCGCACTGACCTGTTTCAATACCCCTTCCCTTCCCTTGCCGGCGCGCCGGGCGGCCAGGGCGCCTTTGGCACCCCGATGCACTGGCATGCTGGCACCTCCCTCTTGCTCGCCACTCGCCACGGACTCGGACGGACACGGAAGTGAGGCGGTGGGAAGCGCTGGGAGGGGGGGGGGAGTGCAGGGGCCATGCAGCCTGCGTCCCCACCGCGGCCCTCCCGTCGAGCGGCGACGACGACGACCCCTGCAGCTGTCGCCGTCGTCACTCTGGGAAAGGGGGAGGGGCATCAAGGAAGCAGTCCGGCGGGGTTAATTGTGTGGCCCTGCACTCAAAGCGGCCCCGGCCCGGCCCCGGCCCACCTGGCTTCAAACATAAAGGACTTGTGCGACGCGGACGTCTTGACGCGAGCGTCTTGGAGAAATGGAGCCAGAGGACGGCATCCGTGACAGTGGAGGGGCGCGGGCAGGGCGCGGGCAGGGCCGGTGAGTGCTGCCAGAATCCTTTCCGGTCGCGGCTTGGCGGCTTGGAATTGCACGCGCGAGGCGGCGCGAGGCGAGGCAGTGTCCTCGCGTTCCCGTCTCCTAGTCTCCCACGTGGGGCCGCGGCGGCTCCACTGCTAAAGTCGGGCCCGACATTAAATCACTACCGCAAAGCTTGCCGCCGATAGTGCAGACTGCGTCGAAGCCTATTATTCGGAATCACAGCGCTTTCCTGCCGCCGAGACAAGTATTTTGAAACGCCGCGCCCGACGCGCCCCGTCCGCCCCGTCGCCGCGCCCCGGCAACGCCGCGGGGCCCGACGGGACGCGGCGAGGCGCGGCGGTCGCGGCGGGCAAGGCTCCAAGAAATTGCGCTTTTACGTTGTATCGAGGCAAAAAGCGAGACTGCCAGGACGGCGAGGCATAAACGCGCTGAGGTTCGCGGCGCGCGGTCCCTGCGCATATTCGACTCACTCACACTCACTCACTCACGCGGCCCCTCCTCCCCACACAGACACGCCGCACTTGCGCGCCCGCCGCTGCTGAAAGACACGAGAGTCAAGTTCAGGGAGACTCTCAGCCACGGCGGTCCTGGGGAGGGACCCATCCGGCCAACCGCCTCTCTCCTCTGTGAAGAGTCGGATCGAAAGCAGCTCGTTGCAACACACCCTAACGGCATTGTCACGAAGCATGCAAAGTCGATGCATTATCGCGATGAGCTCGCTCCTCTGAGCCACTTCCGCCCGTCATCGAGCCCAGTCGTGTGTGTGAGTGCTTTGTTTGCGTGTGTGAGTGTGTGTGCGCGCGCGCACCGTCTCCTCCACTTGAAGGGATATCAACTGATATAACGCTAAGCCGAAGGATCCGAGGTACCCTCCCACAGGTAGGCAGGACTGACCTGCTAACCCTCCGAAACTCGACCCCACTTCCACTTAGGGTCGCGGGAAACTATGTTGGGGTCACGAGGAGTCGTGACTCCTCCACTCCACCATCAAAAGGGCGACAGGCAAGGGACGCCTGCGAGGCAGCAAGCCCGGCCGACGCGGCGCCGCGTGTTGCCTAGCCCGCCGACGGGCGCTCCAGCGACGCATAGGCACGCCGCGCACACCACACTACCACCACCGACGGAGCATTTTGGCTGCATAGAGATTCGGAAAAACACGGAGCGCCGCTGCTTATCGGCGCCACGCTGCCACGCCACAGTCTCTATCTGCGCCAGCACAATGTTATCGGCATCGCCAAGGCATCGCCAAGGCACCGCCACTGCAGGCGACCGAGTATCAAAACGATCAAAATTAATGCGAACGCGCGCAGCGCGCAGCGCTTGGAGTGGCCCAGGGCTGAGGGCCTCGTCGCCGTCACAACGACGATATCCCCGGAGGCCTTCTACTGGGGACGCTGAGACGCCGTGCGGGCCTATCTCTAGTGCCGCTGGCCTGCCGGGCCGGGCCTGCCGGGCGCCACACGTGCGACTCGAACCGTCCCGAGAACGCCGGGCAGACGTCCCGCAGGCCCAGGCGCTGGCCCGCTGGCCCGCCGGCCCTCAGTCCGCGCCAGCCCGCGCCCAAGCGAGCGACGCCGACGCCGACACCCACACCATGGCCAAGCCAAACCCCGCCGAGCCGGCTGCCGAGGAGGGCGGTGCGGCCGTGCCGCCGCAGCCGGAGCAACCGGAGGTCGTGACGCCGCCCCACGAGGACCCCCCGCCGCCATACTCCGTGGTGGCGCGCCTGCCTCCCACGCCGACGCCGCGGACGTCGGTGTTGGCGCGCGGGGTGCGCGCTCTGTCCACCGTGACCTCGGAGGCGGCGTCCACGCTGACGTCCCTGCCCGAGGCCGCCTGGACGCGCTCGCACCTGTACCTGCCGCTGGTGGTGCCGCCTAGCCTGCCCGCCTCGCCCGGGGGAAGTCCCTGCTGCTCCAACTGCGTGGCCGCGGCGAGGCTCGCCTGCACCCCCACGACCCCGCAAGGCCCGCACGGCCCGCACGCCGCGTTCTGTGAGGCGTGCACGTCCGCGTCGACCACCCCCACCAACGAGACGTGCAGCACGTCCTGCCTCACCTCCACCACGACGTCGTCCTGCGCCAACTGCCTCTCCGCCGCCACGACGCGCGCCATCCCCGCTTGGGGCGGTGTTGTCCAGGGGGCGGACGCCCACACCTGTCCTCCTGTCCACGCCCACCACGCCCACCACGCCCACCTCGCCCACCTCGCCCACACGCCGCCCGCAGACTGGCCCTCGCCATCGCCGGCAGCCGCGTCCTTCCTTCCGGGGCCAGCTGGGCCAGCCGCGATCGTCCTCACACCTGTTGCCGGCCCAGTGGGCCCAGTGGGGCTGACCCAGCTCACGTGCACAGCGGCGGGTTCACTTGCGCCCGGCACGGCACCGGCAGCAGGGGCCGCCCTCACACCCGAGCCTGAGGTGCACAATCATGCAGAAGCCGCCCCGGCCGAGACGGAGACGGCCAAACCGTCCGTCGTCGCCAGACAAGTGTCGACGGGCCAGGCGGTGACGGTGGCAAGCGGAGCCTTGAGCGGAGCAGGCAGAGCGCGCGGCGTACCCGCATCCAAGTTGTGTGAGTGGCGCGCTGGCATTGTTTCCATGGGCCGTCCTCGCGGATCGGCTGACCCCGTTCACTGCTAAAGCCTTCCCCGCTTCTGCCCACAGATGGCAGCCTGGACAGTGAAAGCGCCTTCCCGCCATTATCGTCCTTTAGACTGTTGACCCCGTGGCAGAAAAAATGTGAGTATTTCAGTTTTGAAAACTACTCTGGAAGAATATCAGGCCTTAAAAGAGCCCAAAAGACTTGCTATTCGCACACAGTGTGGCTTGAAGAGTTCCACATCGTGCGGCCTTCTGATAGCGTATCTCTCTCCATCTCAAGTACTATCCGAATGTCTTTTGGTGCCTGTCACTCTGTCACGACGCAGCATTTCCTATTAGCTTTACATTAGTAAGCACAATTTTTTCCATTAAAATGTCAAGTTTGATTCGAGTGCCAATCAGAGGCCTCACACAGTCAACAAGATGACAGTGAAAATTTGGCGAATGGACGTGCTTTGAAGTTTGTTATTTCTGTGTTTGCAGTACTTATTTTCGCGATAGTCTGGACAGCGTTGATTGTATTTGCCGGTATTCTGGGCTGCTACCTCATCTCATTTGGTCCTGCCAGTAAGGAAAAGCTACATTTTATTATGATAAAATCACTCACATTAATAAAAAGTACTATATTAATAGATTTTCTTTGTGTGTAATCTGTTTCAGATTTTGATTCCAATGACGATCAATCCACTATTAACTGGTTCCAGAGTGTCAGACGCGCAGACAGAAGCACCGCGCCTAATCAGGGCACCTTATATAGGGCATCCAAATATGAAGTTTAGTATAATTTATAGCTTTAAGACAGATTTAAATAAAACCAGTGTTTTTTTAATTTTTTATTTATGTTTTGATTTGCGCCTTCGTCTCTTCAGAGCCTCATAGATTACACAGAGACCCCGCCACGCATTGCAAACCCTCGACCAGTAGCAAGCGCTGCATATGGGACTTCCCTTAAGCCTCTGTAAAATCCCTACCCAATGAGAGAATCCAAAGAGGAAAGCGTACAAAACAAGCAACGTGGGGGCCCCTCCAGGAGTAGGGTACAGTAATCTCTCTTCAAAAATGGGCAGGCTTGCTGGCAGAGCGAGGAACAAAGAGCGGCAAGTTTAAACTTCCCGCGTTATTCACCTGTTGCGCAAGTCCGCAGTGCCACCAACATTAAACGAAGTGCAGCGTTCAGCACGCCCCCTTTCCAACCCTTGGAAGGTTCAATCCGTTGAGTTCTTTGACGTTTGTCCTCTGGCCTCTGATCACAACGGAATTGCGACTGTTAATACTACTGGTGAATTTCATCGGCTGTTGACGTTGTGTTTGGCTGGTGTTTGATCGGCAGCATCGTCCATAGATTGCGTCATTGGTTAGCGTACCGCACACATGTGACGTGACATGACCATGGATTGAATCATCCCTCTTTTCCTCGTGAAATTCGACGCTGGAGAAACCCTTGGTACAGCCAGCCTCCTTGTCGTAGGTCAAGAATCAGGAGCAGACACGCTGGCCACGCTCAGGCCACCGGAGCAGGGAGCGAGCACCGATGGCACGAGCACGAGTCAGAGTCAGGTGAAGCCAATGACCCCTACCCCTTCCTCTAGCTCCTAGCCTCAGCTTCTTGCCCCTCCCCCTCTCGCCCTCTCGGGCAATTCCCCAGTCTCACCTGCCCCCCTTCCCCCCTTTTCCCAGATGATCTCAACAACGGACAGTGGCGGGGGCGGGGTGGGGGCGGGGTGGGGGAGGGGGCAGCAGCCGTGCCGTGCCGTGCCGTGCCATGCCGTAGTAGTGTAGTAGTGGTAGGGAACGGAACGTCAAGAGCTTCTGCTTCCATTGTTTTATTTGCAATTTTTATTTATATTGTTGTTTACTTTAATTTATTTTTATTTATTGCCTTATGAACATTATCTGCTTTATTCGCTGAACCTACCGTGCCTGTGTAAAAGGTAAGGAAAGAAAGATTTGTCATTTTGGAGTTTGGAGAAACTTAGGTTAGCCCGTCCCCCATGACAAGTTTCAACAACTACAGTCACTTTGTTTCTTGCTCACAACATTCGGTCCAGTCAGCCTGTTTAAAACCCCTTTCTTTGTGTCAAAATTTTTATGATTACATGTTGTTAATGTTTTGATTAAGTCATCTACTTCTGAGAATGTGTTCTTAACATTTGCTTTGTTATATCTTCCAGGAAATATGAACGAATTCAAAAAATTGGTGTTATTAGATCTTGAGGACAATATCAAGAGAGATGTTACTGATGTGGATGTGGATGATATATTGATGCGTTTGATATCAAAGAATGTTATTAATTCTGAAGAACAGAGAGCAGTTTTAGGAGGCAAGAATAAAATTTCAGAATTGATAAAAATTCTTCTTTCGAAAACTGAGGGAAATTGGTATGAAGAATTCGCATCAGCTTTAGAGAATGATTACAGTTGGATCTCAAAAAATTTAAGATCCAGGTTTGACAATGAAGTTACTGAAAAACTTGACTTTTATCTGCATGGAAGAGGAAATGTACCTCCACTACCGCAACATAACATAAGAAGAACGAAATACATCCAACCACTCCGTGACAAAATAAGAAATCTAAAGAGAAATTCCTATCTAGTTGTCCATGGTTTGTCTGGTTTAGGTAAAACCTATCTTGTGGTAGATGCATTAAATGATGTTGGTCTTCTTGAAAACTCTCTAAATGGATGTGTCTATTGGATGTCTGTGGGTGATTTGCGAAATGAAGAGTTGGACAAAATACAGTGTCTTCAGCTGCAAAAAAAATTATGCACTATGTCTAACCTTGTCATAAACCCTCAGAGAGACCTCAGTCCAGATGAACTTCTGCTAGAACTAAAAAGACACTTCAGTTTGAAGCCAAATAATTCTTCTCTTTTAATCCTTGACAAAGTCAGATGTTCTAAGGTGATTGAGATTTTAAGTGTTGGTTGCAAGATTCTTATCACAAGCCAAGACCGTGATGTGGTAAAGGATCCCTATCACAGGGACTTCTATGAAATTTCTGAGGGATTTTCGGAACAAGAGTCAGTTCAACTTCTGAGCGACTTTGTTCTAGATGGTACCAAAGAACTTGCCCCTCCCATCAGAGAATGTGCTACAAAGATCCACAGGATGTGGAAAGGCCACCCAATGATTATCCGATTGATTGGTGGTGAGCTCTCGGAAACAAAAGAAGAGTCTCAGAGAGATGTTGCTCGATGGCAAGTATATGAAAAAACAGCCCAACATGGAACCAACGGAAACGGTGCCCGGCGAAGAAGCGCACATGAAGAGCAAGTGAAAGATATAATTGAACTAACTACCAAAAAGCTGAAGTCTGATTTTAAAGATCGTCTCTTCATGCTTGCTGTTCTTGTGGAAGATGCTAATATTACAAAGGAAGTATTGAAAATACTTTGGGATGTGGAAAGCCATGAAGTTGAGAAAACAATGAATACACTTTATAGAAGAAGCTTAGTTCTCAGGAAATATGTTGACAAACTGAAGCAGCCAGTATATGGTATTCATGATATTATTATGGAATATTTAAAGAAGAGTGTTTCCAAATCTGATCTTATAAACATGCATAAAGATCTGATGAAAAAAATTTATAAATTCTGCCATGGTGATTTTTCAACCTTACCAGAAGACAGTTACATATTTTCTTACCTTTGTCATCACGTAGAGAATGCTAACATGTGGAATACTTACCGGGATCAATTTTTCCCTCTACGCTACTTAGAACGAAAATTGAAAGCTACTGGCTCAGGTGACCTCTTGCTGGACCTCCATAAGTATCAATCTGGCTTAGAAAATAACAATGAATACTATCGCTCCAAAATGGAAAACATCAAGAGCTTAGTTAATGACAGTGGATGGGACATTCATCAGGGTGATGTGGACATTGTTCAGTGTGCCTTGTTACAGCCCTCTAAGAGTTACATATATGTCGAAGGAACTGTTATTGCAAACAGTAATGAATCATCATCAATGGTGTACTTTTATCCCACTCCCACTGGCTCAGGAAAGAAACCAAGGGATCTGAAGGGAAATTTCGACAATGTTCAAGCTGTGAGCCTTGTTGCTAGTAATTCTGCGAGCCTTGCTGATGGCCGATTGCTCATTTATCCTGATCCTGAAGGCCTTATAGCTGAAATTGATATGCATTATAAAGGTAAAAGGCGTTCTTTTAGAGAAATTAGTCATGTAGTCATGCTGAAAATGTCACCTTTACGTGACAAATTCTTGTCGGCTTTGGATAATGGGTACATAAATATTTGGAGCATGACCACTGAAAGTACCTCTGCTGCTGATACTCCACCTCCTAGTTTAAAACAAAAAAGCCACCAGCCATTCTTTGAGGATACTCGAAGTACTCCATGTTTATCCTTCAGGCACAAACATCGAGTTATTTGTGCTTCTTTCTCAAGCGATGGCAGACTCGTAGTATCGGCGTCAGCAGATAATGTTGTTTGTGTGAGTGAGCAAGCTAATTAACTGTTCAATTATAATTTCCTAGGATGAATGTAACTAAAATTTATCTTTTGTTGTGATTCTAGGTGTGGAGCATAGAGAAAAATAGTCTTCTTCATGAACTAAAATTGCATCCTAGTCCCTCAGCAACAGCCTGTTCATTTGTTTGCAATGATACCATGATAGTGTATGGCTGTACAGATTTCCACTTATATTTCTTTGAGTTGGCACATTCCCACAAGTTTGAAACAAAAATTGATGGCAATTATGGCAGACTTGTGAACCTTTTGAATACACAAGGTTTGTATTGACTGTACCACAACCCCTTTTTTTCTTCTGTACTCATTTCATGACAATAAAAACTTGCAGGTGAAGGGAGGAAACTAATTATAGTCCAGGAGAAATCGGTTGTTCTCATGTCATGGGAACTTGAACGTTTGAGCTACCGTGTTGAGGGGTGAGTCAAAATTAAATTATTGTTTATGTATTTTCAAAATAATATTTTGTTCCCTCTTTTGCTTCTTACGTGTTGTCTTTCTTAAAAAAAAAATAACAGGCACCGTGAGATGGAATTGAAAAACATGAGGCGTGAGACTATTTATAGCACTGTCAGCCCAGTAAAGATTAATTGTGCAGCATACCATCAAAATAATCTGGTACTGGGAACCTGCAACAATGGTTTGATTTTGTTTGATGTGCTCAGTCATCAATTCTCCTACCAGATCTTGGCATCAGAGTGAGTAGTTTCATCTACATTCTTCCTTTGTTCTACAAAGTATCTGTTGGTATAAGTTCTAAAAAATACTGCCACGTTCTTTTGCAGGGAAATTAAAGCTGTTGATATTGTGAACAGTCAAGTTGTTCTTGCTCAGAACAAGACTGTCATCATGCTTTGGCCAGAACCAAATAAAAAGTTGGTTGTGAAACAGGTTGAAAGTGCCAGTTTAGGTTGGAATACTCATCATCAGAAACCATTATCTGTTCATGCAGTTGCCACATCTGATGGAAATATACAGGTTACTGTTCAAAATGTGAGATTGGTTTAAGGAAAAAGTGCATGTCTTTCACATTACATTAACATTATCTCCTTGTTATTATATTTTCTAGGTTTTTCATGATGGAAAAGTGATTGTAGACAAACTGTATCCAAATACATGCTTTGTTCGTGTATGTGAACAAAGTGATCATGTCTTGATAGGAACCTCCACTGGAGTGGTTGCTCTTTTGGACACAGTATCAAGTTCAATTGACACACTTTTTCTGCTACCTTCAAAAATTACATATCTTAGTGTAACTATGTATGAAAACAATCATGGAAGAGATTATGTATATTTGGCTACAGCCAAAGAGACTGATAACAGCGAGGTTTTGGTTTTGAAGGTGAGTTAATGCTTTCTTAATTAAATTAGTTGAGTCCAAGGTTAAATTTTTAGGGTGCCTAAAACTGTGTTTTTTGTTTATTTTTGTTTTCTTAGGTAAGGGCCGTAAAAAAAGAATGTAAAATTTCATCACCTGTTGTAAAAGTATTTGTTCACTCTCAAGAGAATTGTATGATTGTTACCCTCCGTGACTCCTCAATACTGGTTAGTATTTTAATGCAAACATCATTCCATAACGTTTCTTTACCTATGGATTGGTTTGTTTTCTCATGGGCTACCTATTTCTGACACTGCAGGCCTGGGACTTACTTAGCGGGTGTCCTCCTACTTCTGTTGTGCAAGGCAGAGTGTCAGCAATGATAAGCGATGCAAGTTTTTCTGAAGAAAAGAGTATAATTGTCCTTAGCGATTTAGAAAATTGCTTTCATCAAGTTCATCTGAAATGGCCTGAGAAAAAACAGGCAGCACCTTATGATTCAAACCACTACAGTAGGCTCATTATTCCTAAAACCAACGGTACTGATGTGGTAGATGGAATGGGGAGCAGCCCACCTTTGATGGACATTGTCTGTGGTGTGTCTGACACCATCCCACGGTCAACTCTGTCATGGTGCTGCTCTATGTCTCCCAAAGGGGAACTGGTAGCTATAGGACATGGTGAATGCAGTGTCTTGGTAAGGCCTTTTCTTTTTCTTTTCATGTATCAAAACTGTCTATTGTTTTTGATCGGCACTTCTTACTTAACTTGTCTTCATCTCTTTTAGGTCTGGAATCTGAAAACTAAAAGCACTGTGTTTGACTTTGAGGTTCTCCCAGATCGGCGAAGGAAAGTGGGCCAGCTTCAGTTTTCACATAATAATGTAAAAATGGGAAAAACTCAATTCGAGTTGGTTCTCTGTGTTGTAACTGACTGTCTCTCTTTCTATGACTTATCATCCGCTCTCAATGACAACTCAAGAATTGGTAAAAGGGATTCTCCAGAACGCATTGGTTGTGTGACTGCCTCAGGAAATGACATTGTTGAGTTCTCAGCCAACAGCTGTTTCTCAAAGTTCTGTGCTTTTGATATTTCTTACTCGTTCTTTTCGTGGTATGTGTATGGGGGAAAATTTAAAGACATTGTTTTGTGACTAACTTGAATTTGTCTAGGCTTTGTTACATTTTGTTAAAACGCTGGACAAATTTTCTTAAAGTTATTATTAAACCAGCCTCAATCAAAGCTTTTTTAAAAAAATGTTCCTTTGGCCATCAATTTATTTTTCTAGGCATTTTAGATTTAATGGATTGTAAGGAGGTTGTTGACTAGCTCAGCCACAGAGTTGTGATTGTTTAATTAATATAATCATGTTAGGTATCTTAAAATGAATTTATGTATTTTATGACAATTCATATCCACCTTGTGATAATTATGTAGAAACCTATCCCTGACAAACATGAGACTGTCTTCATTTCCATGTGATTTTCAGGAATACCCACAATTACCTTATGCAAGAACTATTTTTGGTTTCTTATGCAATGCCATGTGTGCAGTGTCTATTTATTCTTGTTTCTACTTTTTTAATGTTAAGAGAACATTGTACAGTGTTGAGGGGAGGAAGGAGATGCTCAAACTAGTAACAGTTGTCTTTTGTGTTCCTTTGCACCCTTGCTATTTTTAAATTTTTGTCAAAAGGTAATTGTGGTTTCTAACAGATACTCCCATGGTTAAGTTATAAGATGTTTATTCACCACATCTGTTTTGTTTGAATAAAGGTTGTTAACACCTTGTTGAGAGAACAGATGAGAAATCATATATGACATATGCCAAAGCATACGGGTTTCTTTTGACTGTGTTCAATGAATATTTGTTTGTGTCGCAGTCAATTTCAAATTTATGCTCACTGTCTGTTCTACTTTTTACTTCATTTGTCAGAAACGATGCTGAGTTTTATGTCTTATCATGTGTCTTTTTTGAACTGTTAAAGAACAATTTTTATTTTTGCTGTTACATTATGACTTCCAGTATTTTAAAAATACAGCAATGCTTCATAATTGTACTTAATGAGTGCCAAAAAAGGCATTTATGGTACAAATCAATTTGTTCTGAATGTACGTGCCTTCAATTTCCCTCTGAGTATGCTCAAACGTATAAAGATATATATTTTTAATTTAACATGCATAGTATTTTACCTCAAACCAAAATGTATTTTTCACAACTTTGTAAATATGTATCAAATACATAAAAATATATCTGGAAGAAACTAACTTGAGCTTTTTTTCTGCCGCCCTACATTTGACAAAGCTACAATATACAGAGCAAGAAACACAAACTCAAAATTTACATAATTAAGCGAAAAATCCTTTGTTCACAGAACAAACTCAACATGCCTGGGTAGGCCAAAACTCCAAATCCCCAAACAGCTATATTTTCTGACTGAAATTTCATCCCAATAATTTCCTAGTCCACCTGAAAATTTCATGGTAGGCCAGTTACATCAAGGACACCATCAGAGTAGAAAGAGGGGAGCAGTAGGATAGACGTGTCCTTACTACTGAGCAGGCGTTTCGGATATACGATGCGTCAGGAGTTCTCTAAAAATAGCCGCACATGGGCAACGATCCAGGAACCCGGAAAGAGAATCACTATCCAGACTCGGCAGAGATTGGGCAGCACTAGTAGCTCCAGAAGCTGATTGGCCAAAGTTGCCGCTCGCCGAAGAGTAGGCACCGCTCGACGCTTCAGAGGCAGACTGGCCGATGACGTTGGATGATGAAGAGTGGGCAGCGCTAGATGCTCCAGATGAAGATTGGTCTACTCTGTGTACAGATGAGGATAGGGCGGAAGAAGATCCAGAAGCTGACTGTCCGAAGTTGCTGTTAGTAGAAGAGTGGGCTGCGCTTGCAGCTTCAGATGAAGATTGGTCGAATTTGTTTGCGGCGGAAGAGAGCGCGTTACTCGAGGCACCTGAGGAAGACTGTCCGAAATTGTTGTTAGTTGAAGAGTGGGCTGCGCTTGCAGCTTCAGATGAAGACTGGCCGAAATTGTTTGCGACGGAAGAGTGCGCGGCACTGGAGGCACCTGAAGAAGACTGGCTGAAATTGTTCGCCGTTGAAGAGTGGGCAGCACTAGAAGCTTCAGACGCAGACTGGCCAAAGCTATTGCCTGCTGAAGAGTGCGCGGCGCTGTTGGCAACGGTCGAAGAATGTCCGAAATTGTTTGCTGCTGCAGTATGGGCAGAGCTAGAGGCTCCAGCGGCTGACTGTCCGTGATTGTTGACAGGATGAAGAGTGGCCGGCACTCAATGACCCCGAGGAGGATTGTCCAAAATTGTGGCTTGATGAAGAGTGCGCAGTGCTGTCTGCACCGGTGACAGAAGATCCAAATTGGTGTGCTGCTGAAGAGTGGGCTGCGCTTGCAGCTTCAGATGAAGATTGTCCAAATTTGTTGGTGGAAGACGAGTGTGCGGCACTTGAAGCACTTGAAGACGACTGTGCGGCATTGTTTACCGCTGAAGAGTGGGCGGCACTAGTAGCTCCGGACGCTGATTGGCCAACCTTGCTGCCTGCTGAAGAGTGCGCAGCACTGTTGGCAACGGTCGAAGACTGTCCGAAATTGTTGGCCACCGAAGTATGGGCAGAGCTAGAGGCTCCAGCGGCTGACTGTTCGTAATTGTTGGCTGCTGATGAGTGGGCGCCACTGGAAGCTTCAGATGTAGAATGCCCAAAATTGTTGGTGGATGACGAGTGTGCGGCACTTGAAGCCCCTGAGGAAGACTGCCCGAAACTGTTCGCTGCAGAAGAGTGTGCAACGCTTGATGCATCAGAGGCAGATTGACCGATCGCGTTGGATGATGAAGAGTGGGCAGCGCTTGCTGCTTCAGATGTAGATTGTCCAAAATGATAGTTGGTTGACGAGTGTGCGGCACTTGAGGCACCTGAGGAAGACTGGTCGAAATGGTTCGCCGCCGAAGAGTGGGCAGCACTAGTAGCTCCAGATGCTGACTGGCCAAAGTTGCTGCCTGCTGAAGAGTAGGCTCCGCTCGACGCTTCAGAGGCAGACTGGCCGATGACGTTGGATGATGAAGAGTGGGCAGCGCTAGATGCTCCAGATGAAGATTGGTCTACTCTATGCAGAGATGAGGATAGGGCAGAAGAGGATCCAGAAGCTGACTGTCCAAAGTTGTTATTAGTTGAAGAGTGGGCTGCGCTTGCAGCTTCAGATGAAGATTGGCTGAAATTGTTTGATGCGGACGAGTGCGCGGCACTCGAGGCTTCTGAGGAAGACTGGCCGAAATTATTTGCCGCTGAAGAGTGGGCAGCACTAGAAGCTCCTGACGATGACTGGCCAAAGTTGTTGCTTGCTGAAGAGTGGGCAGCACTAGTAGCTCCAGACGATGACTGGCCAAAGCTGTTGCTTGCTGAAGAGTGGGCAGCACTAGTAGCTCCTGACGATGACTGGCCAAAGCTGTTGCTTGCTGAAGAGTGAGCAGCACTAGTAGCTCCAGACGATGACTGGCCAAAGTTGTTGCTTGCTGAAGAGTGGGCAGCACTAGTAGCTCCAGATGATGACTGGCCAAAGCTGTTGCTTGCTGAAGAGTGAGCAGCACTAGTAGCTCCAGACGATGACTGGCCAAAGTTGTTGCTTGCTGACGAGTGAGCAGCGCTCGATGCATCAGAGGCAGACTGACTGATGGCGTTGGAAGATGAAGCGGCCTGACCAAAGTTGTTGGAAGCTGAAGACTGGGCTGTAGCTGTAGCTTTAGACGCAGACTGGCCATTGGCTCCTGAAGAGTAGGCAGCGCTTAAGGCTCCCGAAGAAGACTGAGCTAATTTGTCCTCAGATGTGATGAGGGCTGGACTATACTGCGTTACTGTGCCTGGTGCATTTTGTCTGCACCACAGCAGAATGTAAGCCCTTATTTCCTCCTTGGGCCTCAAAAGGCCTCTTTCAATTTCTTCACAGATGGGGCACAGATTTCTGGTTTCTCCCGCCGTGCGTTTTTTCCGTGTGCTTCTTTGGCTCCTGCTTGATTCACCTGAGATTTCTTGCGCACCACCTGAGATTTCTGGGGCCCGAACTTGGTCATTCTCTGTCCTACAAACAACGTCTTGCCGCCGGCACCAGCGCGCAACGTACTCCTTTACTTTGGCGTTCTCCGGCATGTTTAACTCTTGGACGCTGAGGTGCAAGCAGATACCCCCAGGCGGGTTGGGCGCGATCCTCGCCTTGGCGCCGAATTCCATCAACTCGCGCGAACTTGGTTGGAACTGCTGGCACACCGTCAGCGTATCGTTGTCTGTGGGATGGAGAAGTTGGATCAGTTTGTGCTCTGGTGCTCTGCGTCACGCCACGCAAGCTGCCGGCGCTAACCTGTCGTTTCTTTCGCCTCGGCGGTCGTCAAGGCCGAGGGTAAAGCGTGGCGCTCTTGGTGGCGGTGCGGGCCGGCCAAGTTGAGCACGTAGCCGCCGTTGTAGGGGTCGCTGGGCTTGTTGACCACGGCCGGCGGCTTGGTCGGCACCTTGCTGTGGAAGACCGTCTGCGAGGCGGAGGGGAAGGGCAGAGAGCTGGACGGGTCCGCCGCGTCGGACGACACGGGCTCCTCCACGCAGGGCCTCTTGGCCACGTTGTCGGTGGTCAGCGCCTGGCCGTAGAACTCGGGCTCCAGCTCCATGTTGCTGAGGCCGCCCTGGCCGCCCTGGCCGCCCAGCCGGTCGGGGTCGCCGGGAGGGGCGGCCGGCTTCAGGTTGGGCTGCCAGTGCACGGTGATGGGATGCACGGGCTTGGGCGGCAGGTGCGGCAGGGACGGCGTCTTGTGCGTGCCGACGGTGCACCCCACGGGCCTGCCAGAGTAGGGGCCGCCTTGGGGGACGCCCTGCGGCGGCTGCGGCACCAGCACGGTGGAGACGCCCACGCCCACCCCTGAGAACGAGAGAGAAGGCAAAGTGGGTCAAGAGCCATGCGACGGGCAGTTTGTTCACGCTGCCAACTGTTTTTCTTTCATTCCTTCCACCAGTCAGTATGAACCAAAAATCCGGAGTCTTAAACTTGGCCTTAGCGCCTGCGAACCGGTGGGTAGGCAGTCCCGTTACACCGGCGTGTGTTGGGTGGTTGCCTATCCGCTGTCTCGCAGGCGCCATGGTGGGGAGTAGAAAGGAAAGACGCCGCTTCGAGTTCGACGTGCGCTTGCTCGCGTCGCGCTTCGCTCAGACTTACCGCTGGGCTCCGGCATGGGCTCCACCGCCTCCACCACCGTGTCCTCAGTCTGCGAGTCCTCGTTGTGGCTGCTGGACGAGTGGTGGCTCTCGGTGTGGTGCTCGCCGAAGTTGTCCGAGCTGCTGGTGGAGGTCGAGGACGAGGACGACGCGGTCGAGGAGGACGTGTTCTTGGACGAGTGGTGGAACTTGTTGGGGCTACCGATGCCGTGGGGTGGGTCGTTGGGGCCCAGCCCTATGCTGCCCGAGTGGAAGACTCTGGCCTCATTGGCGGGCTCTGCCACCTCCGTCGGGGACGCTGGCTCCGCGACCTCCTGGATCGCCCCCGCGTCTGGACAAGGACAGAATGAGTTTGTTTCTGCGCTGGAATTTGGAAGCCATGCGGCTGCAACCCGCCTCTCCGCTTACCGTGGGGGCGAGCCAGGGCCGCGCGCAGCTGAATCGTGCAGACCAGCAAAACGACGATCACCCGCCACGGCGTCATGTTGGCGACTACGCACCCCCGTGCCTCGGCCATCTCCACAACGCCTCCCCGTCGCCCCGCCGCCCCGCCGCCCCTGCCAGGCGACAGAGTGGCTGGCCTCCGCTCCGGCGCGACAGAGACAGACAGAGGCAATTGGCGTGTTTGGCGTGCTTGGCTTCCGAGACGCAATCATGTGTCTGCAGCACGTGAGCCTGTTTTCGGGGAAATAGGCATTTCTTAAAGCGGCCGGCCGGCGGCGCTCGTTGGCGTATCTCCTTTTGGCCGTATCGCCGCCGCCCTGGCCGGCCCTGGCCGTCGGCCTCACGGTGCACCCGGCAAGGGTGTGCCTCCGCCTGCCTCCGCCTCGGTGCGCCATCATGGCTGGCTGCAATTCTATAAAGCAGCCCCTGCAACGAGGGGCCGCCACTCCGTCAGTCCGCGCAGCATGATCCTCACCAACCTGCTGATGGCCGCCTCGGCCCTGGTCCACGCCCTCGTCGGCGGTGAGTCTGCGCCCTCCCCCTCCCCTTGGCCTTCCCCAGAGCCCTGTCCCGCTATCGTGTGACGATTCGTGTCCATGCTTGCAGGCCAGGCCCAGGACGAGGTCCCGCAGCGCTACTACCACTGCGACTTCGCCCCCGGCGTCGAGTTCTTCGTGGCGGACAAGGCCCTGATGCCGGCCTACCGCTGCGTGTCCGGTCGCGTGCAGCTGTTCATCGCCTCGCAGGACTTCCGCGCGCCCTACTCCAACACGGAGTGGATCGAGGAGCTGGACGTGCAGCTGGGCGACGACGTCATCACGCAGGTGTTCCCCGGCAGCTTCCACTACGTGCGCGGCAGCGTGCACCGGCCCGTGCACGGCCTGGAGTTCAAGAGCCACAGCCTGGCCATCAACGGGCTCACCGTGCTCTCCGCGCGCCGCCTTTAGCTTGTAGCTTTTAGCCTCATTCACCATTTTCCGTTGTTTCCTCGTTTCACTCGCTTTGCAGTTCTCAAGAGACTTCGACAGCAAAGTTCTAATAAACATCTGTTTGCCTTCAGAGTAGTAGTCTTCTTTCCTGAACAACTCACAACACATAAATTAAAAATGAATGCCTTCACCGAAAAAAAAAAACAAACAACAGGACCAACAACCAACAAGGACACAGCACCCAAAATTAAACATGTGACTATCGTCGCCAAATGTAAATCCATGATACCAAACTTGCAATCCACGCTTCTTGCGCAATTTGTTATAAATTTGAATCATAGTACACACCGCGTCCTACGGTGCGCGGGGGTACTCTCTGAACAGTAAGTTTAGTCGTGTTTGGGACGCAAGGAAGCAGAAGACGAAACAAAACGAGTTCAACGCGGCTAGCGGCAACTAGAAATGGTGAACGGGAAAGGGGGGGGGCCTCCACGCCCAGGCTAGACCCCTGCATTTTTCTCACTGCTGGCTAACCATTGACCTGCGTTGCGTGTTGCGTGGGGGTACAAACGGAAAATTCCAAACGTGTCACCGGTTAAAAGGCCGCAATGGATAGAAGTCCACGCTCGCACCTAGGGGGCCAGCCTGTGTGACCTCCGGGCCGCCAGCGCCAGTCACCACCCCGGCGAGGCTGAGGCAGTTCATTGGACGGGCAGACATGCGCTGCCCATCTAGCCGAGTCCCCGGGGCGGTCGTTGTCGTTGCCGTCGCTGCCGTGGCGGCGCTGTGACTCTCGCGTCCTAAGTACCTGGCGAGTGCCCGCAGGCATAGTGCAGGCATAGCGCAGGCCCGCGGGGGCGACCCGACAGGCCGACAGGCCGACAGGCTGACGGTGCTGGAGAGTGGATTCTTCCCTATCGGTATCGCTCCCCGCCGCCCCTCTGCGCCCCGCCCCCGCCCCCGCCCGCCCGAGTTTGGTCGCTCCTTATATTGGCCCTCGGACGCCCGTCCGGCAGCAGTCCGGGTTCTTGGTTTGGACGGTTTGGTCGCGACCCAGCACCCCGCACGGCCCCAGCATGCGCTCCGCCGCCATCCTCCTCGCCGCCTGCCTGGCCGTCGCCGCGGCCGCCCCCGCCGATGTCGGTAAGCCCAAGCCCGCTCAGTCTCGACGATCTCACGCGAATCCCATTGAGGTCCTGACGCCCGGTGCCCCATAGTGCTGAGTGCTCCACCCCCAACTCGTTGACGCAACGAACCGCTCTTCCTTCGCAGTGCGCGGCGAGATGGTCGACAAGTCCATGGAGCAGGTGAAGGCGGAGATGGCCAAGGGCTTCTTCGAGGACCTGGCCCAGGTGACGCAGAACATCCTGCAGCAGGCGCACAAGCTGGCCGAGCAGATCATCCACCGCGTGGAGCAGGTGGCGCACGACGCGCTCTCCAACCTGCAGAAGGACAAGCCCGTGGTGCCCGCCGCCGAGGTCCCCACCGCCGCCGAAGTCACCGCCGCCGTCAACGCCGCGCCCGCCGATGCCCCCGCCCCGGTCCCGGAGGCCGCCATCAAGCCCCAGAACGACGAGGTGGCCAAGCCCGAGGCCGTGCAGCCCGTCGTGACCGTCGAGAACCCCACCAGATGATCGCCCGATTCTCCGAACGGACTCGCAGAAGAAGATAAGTTATAGAGAGCGACCTGCGGGAGCCCTGGGGTTGTTGCGCGGAGGTAATTCTGTTAATAAAAACAAGTGATATTAAGGACTCGACAATTAAAATTTTTGTGTTTTTTTTTCATGGTTGATTTTTTTAGAGTTAATCACCCTGCCGTTGATAACGCCGTTCTATACATGAATTCTTTTCCGGATTTGCGACGCTCACACGTGACTGACACATACACACCCTCTCGGTAACGAGCGCGGAAGAACCGCGCCATCACGCACAGACATCTGCCCCGACAGCGGCAAAGCCGCGCAAGCCAATAAGGCCCATGGCTAGCCTCTAGCGGGGCGGGGCGGTGGGGCGAGGCGCAGCGTGGCAGGGAAGCCCACTTTTAAAAATACCCCCGCCCGTCCCGCGTCCCGTCCGCCGCTCTGACCCGACAAGGGACCCATTCCGAAGGTACGCACGCGAAGTGGAAGCGGGGCGCGAAGCGGGGCGAAGGCGAGGGCAATCATCCGTTTTCTGGCATGCAGGAAGGACCGCGGCGCGCGCGGCGTGCTGGAGGAGTGTACCGTTCTGATGCCCCCCGGCGCCACGGCCCCGGCGCCACGGCCGGCATGCAGAGCGATGCACAGGGCCAAGGCGAGTGAGTGTCCCCGAAGTCCCCGACCTGCACCAATCGGACATCGGGCGGCACGCTAGGCACGCCGCCGCCGTGGAGACAAGCCCCGCCACTCTTTATCTTCGAGGCCCGGGGCGGCGCGGCAGGCAACCCAACGCACGCCCGCCTCGCCTCGCCGCGTTGCCTGCCCGCCGGGAGACGACGCGACGGACGCGACGACGGTGGTGATGTAGACTGATCCCGAAGCGTCGGTTCGCCGCTCTGTCTCTGTCGCACTCGCGGGGCGTTCCGAATAACGATGCGAGAGAGGACTGTTCGGAGCTGCTCGGTTGACCAGAGTGGCCGCCGATTTGTGATTGGCGCGGCGCGCGGCGCTGGGCGGACCGGTGGACACGGACCCGTGAATGCATTGCAGCTCGGTCCCAGGCGGCCCTGCCATCTCGCTGCCATGGCCCTGCTGGATCACCGGCCCGTTAACTTACTGGAGGGGGGGAGGAGGGCGTCATCGGCGTACTGGAGTGGCGGTGCCGGCGGGCGGGGGGCCGGCGAACGGCGAGACAAAGACAGAGACAGGCGTGAAGTGTGAGTTTCGCCGACGGCCTGCTTCTGCTCCGCGAGGACAGCGAGGCCACGCGAGGTTGTTCACCCGCCACAATTCACGCATTCACGGTCCGATGTCCGCGGCCCTGCGCCCCGCGGCCCTGCGCCCCGCAGCCAGGCCGGCGACGATCGCGTCGGAGGAGCCGTCGCCCGTCGCCCCCACAGGTGTGCTTTCAGATGAAGGACCGCAGGCTGATGCCGAGAGTCGTTAACTCCCTCCCCCTCTTTGTCACGCCGAAACGGGATGCCCCGCGAGTGCGACAGAGACGGCGTGACTCAAACGACTCTCGGAATCAGTCCGCTGATCTGAGATCGCGAGTGGCCGCATCCCCGAGAACCGCAGCGCCCAGCGCGCCAAGGCCGCTGCGGTCGACGGGGACCCCGCCTGACCCCGCCTGGCCTGACACCGCCGCAGCACCGCGGGGGAAGTCCTCGCCGTCCTTGTCATCCTCGCTCCCCGACGATGGCGGCAACCAGGTGCAGGGTGCCGAAGGGAATGCCGAAACGCGCCCAAAACACGCCAAGGCACTGGAGGGCGTCCGCGAAGTAACCGCGCCGTCCGCCGCAGGGGCCCGCCGGCCCCGCCAGCCCCGCCAGCCCCGCCGCGGTTCGCCCGTTCGACTCTCCGGAGCGCCAGCGCCGCGCCGCCTCGCCGCCACGCAGAGGTCCTCCCTCCGCGGACCGACGCCGCGCACTCAGCGCCGCTGCCTGCCAGCCCTGCCTGCCTGCCTGGGTGCACGGCCGGCGCGCTGCCGATATATATAAGAAGTGGCGCCACATTTCGCCTCTCACTCGACGTGGTTGCAGTCCGGAGTGTGGAGTGGCGTGGATTGGCGTAGCGTAGCGTAGCGGTGCGCGAGTGTTGCTCCTCTGATTCCTTCCGGCGTGCCTGGCTGTGTCATCCATCCTTCCGTCATGGCCGCCTCCATGTGGATATGTGTCGCCGCCCTCGTTCTCGCCTCAGCAGGTCAGTGGCACATCCTGGCACATCCTGGCACAGCACAGGGCGCGTGTGTTTCTGTTTCCAGCATGGTATGGTGAAAATCGATGCTAGTGTCATGAGTACGGGGAGATGTAAGCACATGCCTCGATGCGCAGCGCTGCGTTGCTGCCCGGCCTGGGCCGACGGCCTAGTCCTGGTCCGGTCCACTGGAAGGTAGGCCGCGCGCATGGATCGGGTTGACGCTACCGAAATGTTGTTCGATTGCGCATACCATTGTAGCCGTCCTCGCGGCAGCCGCTCGTGACCTATTCCTTAGGGGCGAGTGCAAGGGCCAGATCGTGCTGCACTTTTGCTGCTCTTTGGCGCAGCCGGCGCAGCCAAGGCAAGCGAGCGGTTTGACCCCCCGGCCCCGGGCGCCACGCCGCCACGCCGGGCGGAGGGCGCCACACCGCGGCAGCCACTTCGCAACGGCCGTGTCGTGTCGCCGCGTCGCGGGGGCATCGATTCTATCGGCACCCACTGCTTTGCATTGGACATGGACGCGTGCAGTCAACTGCATCCCTCTGCAGCCGCGGCGCGCAGAGCGGCGCAGAGCGCAGCGCGCGCCCCGTCGTCGAGCCTGGCCGAGCCTGGCGGCGTGAAGCATCGATTTGGCAAGCGCCTCGGCGCAACGCGGCGCGCGGCGGCAAAAAAGGTAAATAAAATAAAAACGGCGGTCGCTCGTTCCGATCGAAAGTGCGCCGTCGCTGGGCGTGCCCAAGGCGTGCCGTGACGCGGCCAGCGACACGCACTTGCTTGACTTGCTGCGCGCTGCGGCCCGATGCGGCGACGCGGCGACGCGGCCCACACTGCCGAAGTAGGCTGCACCGGTGCGCGTGTTGACGCGCAGCCTCCAGCGGAAGGAAAGGAAGCCAGCGTGCCAGCCAGGACAGCCAGGACTTGATCCGGGAGTCCGCGGCTAAGTACTGCCGCCAATGCCGTCTTCGCATGAAGCCCCCCTCCCACCGCATTCACTGGAGGACCTGTGCGTGGCCGGGTGGCCGGCTCATTTGGGACGGGGCCGGGAGCGAGCGGAGTGGTCCAAGTGCAGCGGATAAGCCGCGGGCTGTAATTGCCGTCCTGACCTGGATCTTGTCGGTCGGGATGCGCGGCCCCGCGGCCCCGCGGCCCGACGGCCGAAGCTTGCTGTGCCGCCGCGCCGCGCCTCGCCGCTCGTTCGGAAAGGAGCTAGCAGCCGAGTAGGTGGCCGTTATGGCACCTCCGCCACCTCCAGCGGCAGGGAGCAGGCGGCATTGTTGGGGCGGCTGGAAGAAAGGGAAGTGCTGACGGGGCCGCGGCCCGCGGCAGAGGTGCCGGCGAAGGCGAAGCTGAAGCTGGCGAACACGCCGGCACGCGGCAAGCTCGGCCAAGCTGCACCGCGCGCTTCGCGCTACGCGGCCTCGGTGAAACGAGGAAGCGGCGAAGCGGCGCCCACTGGGCTCTGGTCCAGCAGCCTCACTCCGAACAGAGCGTCGTCGCCCTGCCCCTCTCGCACCCGCCCCGTGAGTGGGACAGAGACAGAGCGACGAAACGGCGCCCGTTGGGAACGGCTAAGTGCCGGCAGGACACGGCCAGGCGCACGACCAGGCGCACGACCGGGGCGACAAGGCAGAAAGGGAAGGGCACTGCAGGCAGCAGCAGCAGGACCAAGGCAGGACCCCGAGACTGCAGGGCCTGAAGGGCCTGCAGGGTACAGAATGCAACGCCGGCGCCCGGACTTAACGGCACTCCCCGCGGCGCCTGCACGGTCCTCGAGGCGCCAGCGCCATGGGCGAGAGAAGAAGAATTGACGGCAGGGAGGGGGGGGAGGCTTTCCGCACCGCTTTCATGACGGCGGGCTCAGTGTGAAGTGCTGCAAGACTGCAACACCTTACGGGCCTTTTTCACTTTATTTTAATAACTTGGTGGCTTGCCGTTGGGACACCGCGGAGTGGAGTGCCATGACGGGCGTCTCGTCCTGCCCGTGCCCCGTTTCCGCCGTTTCCGCCGTTTCCGGTTCCGCGTGGAATCGCTTTCGCGACTTTCGCAGTGCCGCAGTGCCAGAGAGGCTGACCCTTGTCTTTGTTGTCGTTGGGTGGCGCAGGCCTGGGCCACAGCAGGAGTCTGCCGGCGGCGCGTGACCAGGGACAGCTGCCCCCCGTGCCGGGCTACATCCCCGTCTACATCCAGAGCGGGGACTCGCCGCCCGACGTGCAGCGCCTGTACGAGTCGCACCGCACCCTGGCCAGCCAGGGCCACGGCCTGGCGGCGCACGGCTCGGCGCCCGCCCCCGTGCACGCCCCCGCGCCGCCCCCGTCCCGGCGCACCGCCCAGGCGCCGGCTGAGGCGGCCGCGGCCGCCGCCACCTCCAACGGGGACCCCGCCGCGGTCCCAGCGCCGCGCCCGCCGCCGACAGCAACGCGGTCCAGGGTGCCGGCCCCCCACGGCCATGCCGGCCATGCCGGCCATGCCAGCCAGGCACCCGCAGCAGCCAACGTCAACCGGTGAGTGGCTCAAGTACGTACAGCCGTGGCGCTGCCGAGCGGATTGGATTATCAAGCCTCTGTCCACAGGGTGACGAAGAAGGGAACGGCGGGGCCTGTCCCGGCCGCCGCGGCCCCCGCCGTAGGCCCCGCCCCCGCAGCCCCGCAGCACGCCAAGACGCCCCCCAAGAAGCGTGGAGGCGGCGGCACCAGGGTCCAGTACCAGCAGCAGCAGAAGGCCGCGCAGACCCGGAGAAGGCAGCAGCAGCAGCGTAACTTCAAGCAGCAGCAACAGCAGCAGCAGCAGTACCAACCGCAGCGATAGCGAGGCGATGAAGAGGCCGCGCTGGCCCGCAGGAATCCTGGAGGCTGAACCAAAGAAGGGGTCAAACTGCAGTCTGCATTTTCCGGTTGGAGATGGCCCCGACAACGAAGGCGCGTTGCTATGTGTGCGTCGCGTTCAAAAAGGAATGACGAAAATCGGCTTCACACTCACTGATGGGTGAACACCTATGCGCTAGCCGAGTCCTAAGGGAAACAAGAGTATTACTTGGACCGGATAATATGTATGACAAGACGAAAAATGATAAATAAAATGCAAACATTCCGCTATTTCATGACGTAGCGCCAGCCTTGTGACTTCGCTCATTCTCCTTCTATCGACCCTCGCTCACGAATAAAGCTGTCATTGAATTCTCAAACTCAAATACCGAAAGGAAATAAGACATCATTACATACCCGCCCCGCCAGCGTCAATTTCTTCCAGTGGTGCAGGAACAGGGCCTCATTGAATTAGAGAGTGAACGCACTCAACCAAATATTTGCCAGAACAATTGTCCCCTCTCTTAGTGCCTCAGTGAAGGTCCAGGTCGGCCAGGTCTTCCCTTTGACGCTCGGACTCAGTCCTTCCCTCTCGTTTGCCTGGCTTCCGGTTGCGTTCTCAGTGCTGCTGCTTCTTCCGGCGAAACAAAAGACAGACGGACGCAGCAAGGTCGTTTGCTCAGCAGACGAGAATTTGGAGTCTCAGTAGTCAGAAAACCCTTTCCAGCCATGAAGCTCACTCCACTTGCGGTAAGTTCAGCATAAAAAGAATATTAAACTCGAAATTTATCCGCTTGTCGTTAACGTTGACAAGAAGGGTGCCGCGAGGAATCAGAATCTACCATTTATGTTGGGCAGTTGAGGTTATGATTTTTCGGGTTGCGAGTTGCATGTGATACGTCAAACCTAGTTGGGTTTACTTTTAATTTGCATCAGAGCGACGATGACGCCCTTGTTCGTGAATGGCAAACTTTGTTTCTGGTTTTTTCTTAAACCAAATAATTACTTCCAATGGTTTTACTAAGTTGACTGTCAAGCGGTTCAAAACTTGGCCTATAGTTCATACGTCTTTTCTACTTGTGTTTCATATAGATTCTTGTGTTTTTTGTTTATTTTTCACAGATGGGTCATCATTGGGGCGAGCTTGCCAAGTTCCGTAACATTGTTACATTCCGCCTGTCTCCTTATGAACTGAAGCCATTTGGCGGAGTCATCAGCAAGGGTATCCCTAATGTCATCAGGCGAATTCGAGGCCAAATTTTCAGGATTGCTCCTCGTAAGTTTCCACCCTTAAATTGTAAGAATACTACTAGTATTCCCTTTCTGAAACATTTTAGACATTCTTCTTGTGTTACAGCTGCCATCATTTCTTACCTCATCTATGACTGGGCTGAAGCTGAAAATGCTCGTCTCTCTCGCAAGAACCCAAAGGATTATGAAAATGATGTTTAGATATGTTAATTTGGTTTTAATTTAATAGCTTTATCAGATATAGATGTTACAAGTATGGTGTTGTTTTCACCTGATCTTTGTCTTCATTTAATTAAATTTGGTGCAACTTATGAGCTCATTGGAGAAACACTATCCTGTCCCAGCAACTGAGCACAAAATAAATTACAATGCTAAACATTGGAGTTGTAGATTTATTTACTGATTCACAGATGTGGATGAAAAAAGATAGACTCATGTTAAAATCCAAATTTTATTTCTTAAAGCTTAGTTTAACAATTTATAATTATTCTTTACAAAAAATTTACATTAAACTTAACAGCTTAATAATTCCTAGATAAGGGATGTGCGGCTGTGAATTTTTTTTCATGAATCATAGCCTTGGTTATGTTGGTGTAGTTTGCATCATTGTTTCCATAGGGACTGGACTGAAGAGCATCTTTAAGATCAGCAATACTTTGGGTAATCTCAGCTACAAGTGATGTTGCCATAAAGCCATCAATGTCACAACTTCTTAACCCAATACTAATAGCTCTTGATGTTCGGGCTAAAACTGCAGTACATACATACAGATTAGTGGCAACATCTGCTAACCGGGCAAGATTCATTTGTCTGCTGTCTAGTTCAGCACCCCACTTGACAAGTGTCTCTTCAGTAATTTTGCCAAAGTCAAAAATTGCTTTCTCAAGAGTGTCAGCACTGTTGACTAAGGTAGGATGGACATTTTCAAATATAAGATGGTCAATGTCAGGCTCTCTGTCCCAGCTCACATACGATTTGAATAAGCCACGCATGACTTTCTTAGGATGTAAGAGAGGATTTCTATTATGCAAAACCTCTTCTTGAAAAGAGGATCCTGCATGCTTCAAACCAAGTAAAGCTACTGTCATACGTAAGGTATCAACTGAAGTATCAACCAAAGGTGTAAAAAGCATATCTCGCAGAACACGTTCATAAGGTTTGTTAGTTAAGTAACAATCAGATCCCAAAATCTTAAGGCATCTTTCTGCTATGTACTTCATAGACTCACTACTATAGATTTTCACTATACCTACTTCAGCTTCAATATCTGGGTCTTCAATGTTGTCATAAAAATCAGCTGTCATGTATGTAATACTTTCTAAAGCATAGAGCCGAGCTGCTGCCTCAGCCAGATGTTGCTGAACAATGTCATTTGCCACTAGAGGCTTTCCAAATGTTTCTTTCTTGATAGAATGATGCAGAGTAGTGTTTAATAGATCCCTTAAAAGTCCTATGTTGGCACCCGCCAAAGAAAATTTTCCGTATAACAATGTCTTCAAAATCTTCAGTCCTTCTCCTGGCAAGCCAATTAGGTTGTCTTTAGAAACCACAGTTTTGTCAAAAGTCACTTCCCATGCGCTGTATCCATTCATTCCAAGGGTTTCCATGGACTTGGCAGAGATACCCTCAGCATTTTTATCAACTATAAAACATGTAACTTTTGCATTCGGTGTGCCAATATTACTCGCATCACCATCTGAAGCAAAGACGACATACTTATCAGCAATTCCAGCATTGCAAACCCATTGCTTTGTCCCAGACAAAATGTAATTATCGCCTAGGAATTCAGCTCGGCATTGGATACTGGAAACATCAACACCAGCTCCTTCTTCCCATAATGCAAAACCAATGTGAAGGTCTCCTGAAGCCAAAGCAGGAAGGTACTTTTCTTTCTGTTCGTGGCTAGCAAAGTTAGAGAACAAGGGCGAAATATACTGGAAATGTGTAGAAAGAGTTTGAAATAGAGAGGGTACCTTAGAGAACTCTTCACACAATTTAAGCATTTCTGCACAAGTCAACTCCAGGCCTCCGTACTGCTGAGCGATATTAAGTTTGAAAACACCAAGCTCTTTCAACTTTGCAATAGTTTCATCTGATATTCTTCCCCCTGAATTTAATACAGACAGATCTTCGGATTCCAAAAATTTATGGATTTCTGATTTCATGTCTTCGGCAATATTGAGGGACCCTTGGTCTAATTCTAAATAACCGAAAACAAAAGGATCTACTAATCCTCGAAACAGGTTCTTCACGTATGGGCTCATCTTCATTTTGGCACGACGTGGTTCTGGTTGTAGAGACCTTTCTCTCTGCTTCACTTCTTCTAATGCTGAACTTAAGTAAGGTGATGATCGATGAAGAAGTCGTTGAGACACGCAAATTAAGTTGGCCGAAGACGAAACATGTCTCCCTTGACTAAATAGCCGCAGCATCTTGTAAGTTTGTTAGGAATCTGAAAGCATAATGGCATGATTAGCAATTACACCAATCCTAAATAGTATCCATTAAGAATGGCAAGAGGATAAATTTTGCCAGAAACACAACCAAGAAGAGGGAGCATTATTCTTCCCCTGCAAGACTTTCAGGTTTCAAGAACAAGGGCTGTTGCTTACGTGGAGAGAAAGTGCGAGAAATATCAGTATTCTTTGATGTATGTGTCACTTGGGAACTACATTAATTCTTCAACATTAATTCAAGCACCACCAGGCGGCAACAAGACTACCCATCTCCATGGTATCCGACTACATAACCTAAGAAACTAAAGCAGACGACAGCAAGTATGAAAATATTTCGGATCATAAAAACCAAACGTAAGGCAGAGATACTTGCTGTGTCTATTTCCAGATTCGTTTGTGAAATCACGATCGTAGCAATTCATGAATCCGTTTCAAAAAATCAATTTAAGGATTTACCTTGGACGTAACGTGTATCTTATAATATTCCAAAAGACGTGTAAAACCGTATCGGAAAAGTGCGCAAAAGCTGCACTTCGATTAGAAGGCGCTGGTATTTCCCGCCGCTCACGCGCTCGCGCCTCTTTTGTGTTTTTGTTGTTTTCGTTGAAGGAAGGCCTCTCAAAATTGAAATTGATGTCATTTCTATAGATTGTTGTTTGTAGGCATTATAAAGTAAGTCTAGTGGCCAATGTGACTTTATTATATCACCTCTTATTTCTAAATGAAGCGCTGCCCTATACTGGGTCGTGCACCCGGTCCGATTTTTCCCTTTGTGGACTGCACCTGAGTCTGGTTCTGCTCTGCTTTTCGTTTTCTGCACACATTCGTTCTGCACCATCGAATTTAAAGTGTAAATTTCTTTGCGTTTCCTTCACAATACGGAAATATAACCATTCAGATCACCCTCTAGATCGTTCGAATTAGTTTCCTGGACTACTGTTGCTTGCTGCTCTTCTCATGCTTGTTGTTAGTTGAATTATGTGTGTTGTTCTCTTCTGCTTCGAATCTAACGATGATTAATTAAATTCGTGTCAAAATTTAACAGGGCTTATCTTCCTCTACCTACGGCTCTGACTTGAATGTTGGCCACATTTCTGTTCGCAAATCGGTCACGACTTCATACGTACGATGGTAGGTTAGGTTTAGCTTGGTTTAGCTTACTGATCTATGAACAAAGCTCTGATTCAACTTGTCGTATTGCGCCTGTACGCAGTTTTCATTTAAAACTTGTGATAATTTACTGTCACCACGACAATCGTCCATCATAATGCAACATTTGCATCTTTACTGGGTCATGGACATAGTAGGACCAGTGGGGAAAAACGGGGGTGGGGGGGAGGCATTTGGATACTCTTAAATCGTAGGTGATAAGCGATATCCAGTCAATACTGGCTCTTAAGTTGCAAATATGAGCCCTATTTTGGTTTGATGTTTGATGGTGTGTAGTTCCTGCATATCACTCTGTATCACTCTTTGTGTTGAAGTTGACATTCAATAGGGAAAGCCACCTTGTGCACATTACTGGAAGTTATCTCCTCAAAGTTGATAGCAGGAATCTTTTTTAATAGTTTTTATAAGGTTGCTTGGTTTTAATCTGCACCTAAGTAATTTGTATGCCAATGTTAGGCACTATTTATTTATCATCATACGTATTCAATAGGTTGGGTCCTGCAAATATTGGGTGATTTTATTATGGCTTTTTTTTTTCAGGCACTCATTTTATTGGACCAAAAGGACAGCAAAGCCATGAGAAAGAAGTCCCATCTCAGTAATCCTCCTAAAAGGAGAAGACCTAAATCAGTGAGTGATATTTTGATTTGTGTATTTTATATCCATTTCTTGTTAAATTTTGTTAATGAAATTGTATTATTTATTATCTAGTCAGTCAATGGATTTTCATCACATCCTGATAGTCATGATTCTGCTAGTAGGGATTCTAGCTTGTATCAGGACGATGAAGATATTGATGTTGATGATACCCCAGAGCCTAGAATACCGGATGAACTCAAGTAGGGCTCCTTCAAAATTGGTTTATTTCATTAGTATACCTGTATATTTGTCACTGATAATTTGTCTTTTTTCCCAGATGTACTGATTATGATGCATTCAATCACTATCTCTTTAATGACTATCCTCTGCAAGTAGAAGCCACTGTAGAAAAGTTGACTCTTGAGTAAGTGTTCATCAGAAATATTTATAAATGGATGGCTAATGACTTGGTTTATAATGTTTTACTTTATTTTCAGTGATTCATTACCATTAACGGACCAATTGAAGAGAGCCATTCGGCCTCCATCATTTGATTCTTATGATAGTATGCATTGGCAGCCTGGTGATGTGTATAATATTGCGGGAATGTATCCGGAGGTATGTGTGGAAGAGGAAGACTTCACTCGTATCAAGAAACAGCTTGACATGGAACATATTGGAAAATGTAGTTCATGGGATGAAGGAAAATCAAGCTCATGGTACTCATCCAATCATGACAGTTTTTCTGAAGATTCTTGTGGTCAAACCAAAGCATTCACTGCAGATGGGAAATTGCAGCCTGTTCAAGTACTTGCTACAGGTGAGGTTGTAGCCCCAGACAACTCTGTCTATAAAACTGGAAGTGGTCAATCAAAACACTCAGGAAGAAGAAAAGAGGGAAAGTCACAAAGGTTTGAGTCGTACAAAGACCTCATTGAAAATAAACCGAAGAAGATTGAACCAAGTAAAGAAGTGGAGAATCCAAGGTACATCACGTCAAGCAAACCCCCTGTTGTGGGTCATGAGTGCGAGAAATGTGGCACTCTGCTCAAAACAGCAATTAAAATGCAAGAGCATCTGGAAAGACACAAACAGCTGGAAAGCCTGAAAAGTAAGTTACTCTTTTCCTCTTTTCTTCCTTATTTGTTAATACTGAAGTTTTTTTGTATTTCATTTAAATTGATAAAAATTTCTTCATTTGTAGAGCTTGCTGGACAGCTCCCAAACAAGGAGCAGTTGGTGAAAGAAGTTCCGGTGTTAGTAAACAGGGCTTTAAAAGGAATAATGGATGAAGAAGCTGTATCGAACCTTGAGAAAAGAGTGGAAGCCTATGCCAGGCGACTTTATTATAACTCGTTTCCATTGTGGAAAGAAATTAGTCGTGAATTGGTGCATGAGGTGTGGCAGTATGTTACATTGACTGAGCTGGCACTTCTCCCAACTGTTGATGGGGATCATTTTATTTGGTCTCGAAATATGTGGCTTACAACAGGAGGCCGTAGGGAATCATTTGTTTTGAATCTTCTTTTCCTTTATCCAGATGATTCAGAAGTAGTTGAGGTGTTCTTTTACAAGTTTTTTGTAAAACTGAATGAGGCAGTTTACAAATTTGGGATGAAATGTTTAGGCTCACCAGATGTTACTAGTGATTCCTTGAGTGAAGAGCATGATGCAAGGTCAGATCCTGGTCTAGAAGATTTACACACTCTTTGTGCCCTCGTCTTGAGGACATATGTGAAAAGGGCAAGTCAAAACAAGACAGTGAAAGGATGGAGTGCAGTGTATAAGTGCATGAAGCGCAATTTCCTGGAGCACAAAGACTCTGGTAAACATCCAAAGTCAGCTGAGATGAAGGATTGGGCTTTTGGCGAATCAAATAGCCTTGTTGCTTCTAAACAGGCATTTAAGTTGTTTTCCCTATTAGAGGCAGTGATTGACAATATCAACAAAGTTAACCCCACATGTGATGGCCCAGCAGCTTTGCATAAATTGGTGCTTAGAGCAGTATATTTGAGACAAGATATAATCAGAGCTTGGGATAAATTGGTTGCCACTTCTCATTTTGAGGAAATGGATTCCTTATTTGTCCTGGAAATGTTGGTGAAAAGTTTTGCCTTCTTTTCTGGATGTGCCAATGCTCGAAAGCAAAAAGAGAGAGAGATGGAATAAATCTTAAAAATCTGTAAAAAAAATTTCAAACTTACATAAAAAGGAGGAAAAAACAGAAGCCTAATGTAAGTTACTTCCTACTGATAATTTTTTTTATTGTGATGCTGTGATGAATTTACCTGTGTTTATTACTTGTGTTATCTGAATATATATTTGGAAATTGTTGGAGGTGAACACAATCACTTATACTGTTTTAGGTTTGTTTCTTTTCTGTAAATCAAATGTACACAATGTACATGATGTATGGCAACCTAGCAGGCAAATAGTGTCACCTATATTGGCTGCTGGGTTGCCATTCATTGAATAAGTATGTTCTCCCCATAATTTTATTAGGGTTATAATCTTGACAATTTTAAAATTTGTCTCCTGTTGGCCCTCTATGGTATGAATTTTCATGAGTCCAGAGGTCAAACCTACCTTTCTTTGTAAGGGAAATTCACAATCAATTTTGATGAAGGACGTGTTCTGAGATATACTTGAATCATGAGTGTTGTGTGTGTATATGGAAACACTTGAACCGAATATTAATTAAGTGTATGGCAGTATTCACATTGCTGCAACCCTTGTTTTTTACTTGCTGGTTTTTATTTTAGAATGTCTTTGTTTCATTTCTGTATATTTATTTTTAATCAAATGAGCTAGTTGACTAGATGATGTAGCCCTCTTTCTGAGGATTTCATAACTTTAATATTATAATTATTTATTTATTTTTACGTGTATACTCTCTCCTTGAAAACAGCTCCTTTTTACACACAATACGTGCGAGACAAGGCGACGCTTCCAGCCTCAGTTCTTCCGGCGTGGTTTGCAGTACATAAACAAGACGACAACTACTACAATGTAGCCACTGTAGCCGATTGCCTGTACAGGAGTGATGGAGGCGGTCTCAGTCTCGAGGCCACCGAGTGGCCGTGGGATCGGTGACGGACTTGGTGGCTGTGACAGGACCTCTAGCTGTGGTTGCTCTCCGTGCGGCCCCGGGAAGATTGAACCGATGCTCATGCCACCCAAACCGTCGACGATCTTTTTTGCTGCGAAGCATTCACATGTTATGTGGTGCACCAGACACATGTAGGTACTCTTGGCCTACGCACTTGCACTTCAAGGCTTACCTCTTTCCTGGGGATGTTCTGGTGTTGGCTCCCCGCTTGCATCGGGGACAGGGGTGGCAAGCGCCGTGACTAACGTGAGCAGGCCCACGGTACAAGCCCATCGGGAACGGGCAAGTTGCCCTGCCCAGACAAAATAATTCACAAGAACTTGGGGTTTGACTCAAAATTGATATTTTTGAGTGAACGGGCACATACCAATGCACTTCCAACTCTAATGCTAGGTAGTGTAACGCAGAGATTCGTGTTCAGCGGGGCCGAATCAGTCGAGAGCCGCCGGTGTAACCAATTTTAACGCGACTACCAGGGGAGCTGGATAGCTAGAGGCTTACCATGGTGATAGCGGTGTGTGACTGTGTGGTGACTCGCCGCCAGTCTGAGGCTGACTGGTCCATGGACCAGCCAGTCACTCCACTCGTGGGTGGGGGACAAGGACTTTGGAGAAGACGAGATAAGGATAAAGATACTCGACTCCAGAAAAGTCATGGGGAAGCGGGAAACAAATACCACTCATTGGGATGAAGGGTGGCTTGTGTGGTGGAGGTAGGAGCTTAATAAATCAGCTCAGCATTAGAGAAAAAAAATTTAATGGACTAAATTTACAGCCAAGGGGAAATGGTTTACAGTTGTGGGGAAGAAAAATTGGCACTCTGGCAAACCTCCATGGTGACAGAATTCAGGCAGATGGATAAAATGTGAGTCAACACAATACACAAGCTATGCAGGACAACTAAAATTGGTAACCAACTGATGAAAAAGGTAATGTCTCTTCTCTACTTGGCTTAAAATAATTATGGGGGACAATTCTTTCTCTCTTGATTTAACCTTCCGAAATGTCAAACCTACAAGCAAAAATCAGATGAAACAAATGGTAGTTGCAAAAGTTTGCAAGATAAATCCCTGCCGCTCTAGCTGGACTAACTGTTTGCAAGATAATTCCTGCGTTTCTAGCTGCCCTACCTAAGTGTGTCAATATTTTAAGTCCAAAGTTAAGGCAATTGCGGAGAAATAAATGCGCAATACGCTTCAATACTAGAGCTTCCTCTGGGAATGTAAGACTGGCACAAGATGCAAAACATTCTGTCCTCTTAAAATATTGATAAGGAGATATACATACAGTAATTACATAAATTATACAAATTCTCAAAAGCTGTCCCTATTTTAAGTCCATTTTATCACAGTTGTGAGACATTCTTGAGAGCTAGTTTGGTTCTTTAACCTGCCGTTTCTTGTTCACAACACAGAAACAGCTACTAAAGGATGCATCACATACTAAATCCAGGCTAGTAGTTGATAAAATGCAATAATTTTAATGAATTCTCTTTGGTGGCCATAGAACTATGAGGCAACCCTCCACAAATTAACTAAATGAACTTGCCGTCCAAGTACAAAAGTAAATTTAATTTGAGCTGCTGTGCATAATCCTGCCTGTTGAAAATTATTTTATATCCTATATGAAACTCCACATGAAGAAGTTTGATCACACAGATCAGAAAACCTACATCATTTAAATTTACATTAACTACTTTCACCAAGATCTATCAATTGAATAAAAAAACACTGCTTCATTACAAAAATTGTGCCTGTGACTCCATGTATTTTTGAAATGTGCAAACAAAAGTTTGGAAAAAATATTTATTACTTAACAATTTTGGGTGTATTTCTCTGAGCATAATTACTACTTCCAGGACCAAAAATAAAAGTGGAAAAATTTTCAAAGCGATAAATGAATGATGTTGATTTCCCTTGAGTTTTTTCACATTTACCCTTTTCTGGTGCAAATCAGAATCATAACTACATCAGCTTTGCAATGTAAAACCACTGCATAAAACACAGAAACACACATACACACGATCCCCAGTCCTTGAAATCCACAATCGCACAAATGATCTTAAAGTTATAAATACTATTCACGATGAATCAAAACATATAGGGCTAGTGCAATTAGAACAGCGTACTAGAACAGAAAAAGAAAGCCTGTGTTAGAAATTTTCAACAGTAACACCGAAGTAAAATAAGGTTACAAAATAAATGGAAAATACCTTGAAATGAGGATAATCATTCATGTATATGGTGACGAGGCCAACATATGGAAGAAATCCACGAGCTCTCCCAACAACGTGGTTCTTTGCTAACCAAAGTTGACCGGGAGCATAAAGACCACGATCATCTACATTATTGTTATCTCCTTTGGTAAGAAATTTGACAGTTCCATTGGCTCTGGAAACATGGCAAAGACAACCAAGAATTAAGACATCTATGTAATAACACAAAACTGGAATAGAACTTAAAGAAATCATCCTTACTTTTCATGCAGCTTTAACACCCTGTGTACAATTGGGATTTCTCTTCCCTCAACTTTAAACACAACAATGTCTCCGGCCCTTATGGGATCTTCCTGATTATTTGTGAGGAACAGAAGGTCTCCTCTTTGAAAGGCAGGCTCCATACTTCCACTGAAACATAAATAGATAAAACACCAGTTAAATCCAGTTGAAAGTTTGAAAATTTCATGACATGCCAATTATCGACATTATAGACTTACCTAAGCACAACTACAATAGGACTTTCACTACCAGTCACCACCATCAATCCTTTCCATATCATAAGGGCAGATGAAACTATCATTCCAAAGCTCAAGGCTTGATAAAGCATCTAGAAAGAGAATTAAAAGATATTTGTAGCATATTAATACAATGTATGAAGTTGAGGCTCTGATAACAATGATATGCCTGGAGTATTTTTAATAAGTATGAAAATGAAACAAGTTGAAATTGAGGGTTTGTTTTACATAGGCGGGCAAATATCTTAAGGATAGTAACGCTGTCCCGCCTGGTCAAAGAAAACAGATGTCTATGAATGACATGTTGACACTTAGATCATAACCTAAAGAATTTTGAGCTGAATAGGTAAAAGTAATCAGAAGCTGACTTGATGAAACAAAATTCACGAAAAAATAGAGAAAATTTCAAGAAAAGTTATCAGTTTGCCTGTAAAATCCCAAAATAATACATCTGTTTGAAACATATTCTACTGGCACTGGTAGATTCGTGCAGGAGGCTGACTTACCTGACGCTTGTTCATGCGTTTAAAATCATCCCACGCGTCCATCATCATTTTGAAAAGAGATATTTTGAAGTGGCTCTGGATAAAGGGGGAAAGTCTTCAAGTTGAACCGGCGATATATTTTGCAGAAAGGGTCGGTGTCGGTGTCCGGTGTTGGCTCCACGTCAGTTTACACAGCACAAACAGTTATTCGCAGTGCGCGTTGTTCTGCTTGTCTGCTGCGACGCGGTATTCGCAGGGCAGTATAGTGGCGCCGCCTTCCCTCGGCGCCTTTGCTTACTTCGACTAAAGCCCTCGCGAACTGCTGCTGCTGCTGCTGCAACTTCACTGTCAGCTGTCAACGCTAGCGAGAGCGAGCTCTAGGTCGCGGTTGCCCGTCCGCTGTTCGTTGTGTGCTTCACTCCACTCAGTGCCACCCTCTACTCTTCGCTTCACTTTACTGCTGCCAATTTGTCGAAGTGGTCCTGTCCCGTGCTATGTTTGCGCTCTTCAGTGGATAGCGTTTGCAGTTCACGTAAGTTCTCCAAGACCTGGCTTGCCGAGGCCAGACAGCGGGCGGAAAAGTGTTTGTTGACACCGTGCCAGTGTAGTTGGGGGTGATGGTGATGGTCGCTGCTGGGGGTAGCATCCCCAGGACAGGTTAAGTTCACCTGGTTCGTCCTGCTTTGTCCTCTACTGCACTTACACTGTTGTGGCTGCCTCGCTGTGTCATCCAGTGACACCCGAAATGCAGTGCTTTGTTATTATTTGAAATCCTAGGAGTTGGAAACTACTGGCCCAAGTACAGTAAGCATATTTCTTATCAGTGTCATGTTCCTCTCAAGGTACAAAATTAATGAGTAAAGTAAGGGAAACAAACACAGGAAATCAACAAATATTTTTTAAACCAAATTCTAGTGATCATGGAAAGGTGTCAATGTCGATGAAATAATACCTCGTTGTATACGATGTGCCTCTTATGTACTTGTAACGTAATCATTATCAATCAATTTTGTTATTTTATTAATTAACCTATCCTTTGAATTTTATTTGAGTCCTAAAATTAGTGTGTACACAGTACAATCAAGAAGGAGTGGAGGGGGAGTTTGCATGTGAGATGGGAGGGGGAAACTCCGTTGACATTTGCGAGGAACAATAGAGGGTCCTGCTGGTCCTTCTTGGCACGGCCTGATGTCACAAAGTCACCGCCAGGGTTGTGGTGTGGCTGCTGTGGGTGGATTGTGGAACTAAGAGGTGGCAGATGTATCGGCCCTCCCTGCACCCCCACCCCACCCTACCCACCCCGCTCCCCCAGGGTGAATCATTCAAGTGAAGGCTATGGTGGAGATAGTGTGGGGACAGGGCCCTGGATCTGGATGGCTGGGCTCTCTTAGGCCGAATCCGAACCCTGAGTCCCCTCCTCGGTCCCCTTGCAGACCAAGTGGCGCCTGGGAGGCCTATGTGTCCCTTTGTTGCTTTGTTGAGGGCCCACGGCCTAGAACCGCCTAGGACTTAGAGGGGTCCGGTTCCAACCTCCCAGTGTGGTTGTGCGCCCCTGCAGGGATGGGAGTGAATGGGGAAGGACGAGGCGTCGAAACGCTGGAAGTATTTCAATTCGCTGTTTTGGCAGTGTGGGAGGCTGTGGCACCGTTCGTGCGGGCAGTGCACTGCTAGTGGTGTAATGGCGGGGAAAGCTAATACTTACGCTAGGCCGCGTGCACATCACGCTCATGATCCCATTGGCTCATGCCTGCCCGTTCTGCGTGCCGCCGCGATGAATGAATGGGGGGGGGGGGCACCTGCATGGTCCGCACGCCACCGTGCCGGCGCCCCTCCCCGCCCCGCCCCGCCCCGCCCCCTGGTGGCGTGCGGTCTGCGGCGGTGCGCGGGGACCGGGGACGCCCCTACGCCCCCGCGGTCCTCGTAGTGGGGATGCCCGGAGAGGACGGCCGGCCTGTGGCGGCCAGCCTGGATGGGGATATTTTGGCAAAGTGGGAGCAAGTCCTGCAGCGGGAGGCGGTGGCGGTCCTGGGGCCCTACGGCATGCCTCCGGCCTACAGGGTGGGGGCTGGCCGGGGCTGGCTGACCTTGCGTCGCCTCCTGCAGCGAGAGCGAGGCAGCGGGGATCGATGGTAGCCTCGAACGGCCGGGCCCCTGCTTGCCTGCCCTGCCGCACCTCTCCGCGCCGTGCTCCCCGCCCTCCCCGCCTCCCCGCCGTCCGCGCCGGGCGGGTAGGGTAGGGTACGCGTGCGAGATGGGGTAGCCGGGGCGAAAGTGGTGCCCGGGACTCTAAGTGGCTCAGCGCGCTGCTGGGGCTGCTGGGAGGGGCCTCGCCTTGAACACTCGATTGGCGGCAGGGCCCGTCGGGGTGCGGGTGGGCGGTGGGAGTCTGGTGTCTTGCGGCTCCTCGCTCTATCCTCTTTGCGGGATTTCCTTTCCACCGTCGCGTAAATCTAACTGCGCTTGTTCTCCTTCTCCACTTTTTGCGGGTCGGGCTGCCGCTGTCGCAGCGAGTAGTGGGCGGGGCGGGAAGGGGCGCCCCCTGCGACCTTGTTCGGCGTTTGGCAGCCCTGCTGACATTTGGTGCCCCTAATGGTGGGGCGGGGCGCCGTGTGTGCAGACTCATCGCCCGCGTCCTTTTAAACTCGATAAGGCGCTTCTGGGACTCGCGCCGGACTCGGCAGCGGCGTCCTTGGTCCTGGGGTCTCGGGGCGCACGTGGCACGTGGCCGCCGCCGTCTCCCTGCAGGGCAGGGCATGCGCGCCTACATTGTACCTACATTACGCGTATTGCATCAAAATTTGAAGGCGATTCAGGGCCGCGCTGTGCGGCGCTGTGGCGGCGGGAGCCCCTCTCCCCTCTTCTCTCTCTTTCTCTCTCTTTCTCGCCGCACGTGGAACCCCCGAGTGGCGCAGGGAAGAGTAAGGTCGCGCATCCAGCCACGCCACTCCACGCCAAGCTCGGAAACTTGGAGGAATTTTTAATTTAGCGCGAGTCCTTTGCGCGCTGCCTCGGCTCTCTTCTACTCTTTGGCCCCGCCACCGCGCCTCACTCGCTCACTTTACTCGGGAAAGCGAGTTATTGTATCGCCTCGCCGCGAAGCACGCCGAAGCTTGGAACGTCGTCTTGCCGTATTAACCATGCGCCGCGCCTTGAGCCCCGCCAGCCCCGCCAGCCCCGCCGTCTGCCGACCGATTCCGTCGAGCCGTGTCGTCGCCCTGTCTCTCTCGCACTCGTGGGGCGTCGCGAAGGCCCCAGGGGGTGCGAGAGAGACAGAGCGACAGTCGCCCGGCAGCCCTTCCTTCCGTCGCGTCACTAGCGAGGGTAAGGACGTCGAGGGACAGCGTTGCATAACTGTGGAAGCCTCACTCAGGCAGCGGGCTTTTCGTTTGATGTGTTTGATGGCCTTATCGTGGTGTCTCCCCCTCCCCCGTCTTTCAGGGCCGCCATTTTGCTGATGGAAAGTCAAGGGAAGTACCCGGGCGGGGCGGAGGGCGGCCCAGGCCCACGTCGATGCAGTGAAATGGCATGCCATCACCGGAGTGGGCCGAGTCCTTCGCGGCGACTAGGCGACCTCAGGAACCCGTAGCCGCCCGTCCGGCCCCGCCCCGCCCCGCCCCGCCCCGCCGAGAGGGAAAGGGGTGCACTGCCCGCGTCAGCGCCTCCGCGCGTCAGCCCAAGCGAAAGGGCAGTGCCGCCCGTGTTGTTTGGCCAGCTCCAAGTGGTGTTGTTTCGCCGCGGTTTGCCGCCAATTTGGCTCCAGATTCGTCCGTCGGCGTGACGTCAGCGCGTGGCGTGTAACGGCATGGCTCAGTCGAGTCGAGCCCAGTGTCCAGTGGTGTTGGTCAAGCCAAGGCCGAGGTGGCGTGGCGGCGGGGCTGGCGGTGGCGTTGACACGTTGTTGACATCCTTACGCCGAGCCGGCCCTGCCCTGCCCGGCCCGCTCGCACGTTCTTAATTTGGAAAGCCCTTTTGCCCTTTGTCACTGCAGAATGAATGGGCTGCCGCTTCTGCCGCTTCCGCATCCGCCGCGCCGTCGTCGCAGTCTCGCAGTGTCTAAACGGAACACAATGGCGGCAAACGGGCGGCCCGAGGGCTGCCGCGGCCTGCCGTTCCGTTCCTTGTTTGGCTCCAGCCGGCCAAGCCGCAGGCAGCCGCAGGCCGGCCTGGCGGACAACAATGTGCTATTTCTGGACGGTGACAACGCCGAGCCATAACGCACTGGCCGCGTCCTGTCTTGAGCCAGCGCGCCAGCCGACGGGACGGGGACGCCCCATGAGTGCGAGAGAGACAGAGCGACGAAAGCGACTCTGTGTGACCATAACCTGAGGAACTGAAGGAAGGGAAGGGCCGTGGGCCTTGGCAGCGGCGGCCCCCTGGCGGCCCCGCGCCCGCCCCGCCGAGTCATCCAGTTCGTCGCTCTGTCTCTGTCGCACTCATGGGGCGCCCCGTGGGGGTGCGAAAGGAACAGCGACTCTCCGGCTTGGGGATCAGCCTGCGGGCCGCGCCGCGCCGCGCTGTACCCAAAGCCCTAGCGGTGAAGTGGGGTGCGGCCGTGGCGCCGTGGTTCGGCGGGGCGGGGTGCCGCAAGGGTGCCGCGGCGTCCCGCCCTGCTGTCGGTTGTCTTCGCGGCGGCGGTCGCGAAGGTTCCAGTGGCGTGTCAGGTGCGGCGCGCGGCGTGCGGCCGTGGCGCCAGGGGGATGGGCCATGCCCCGGCTGTGGCGGCGCGGGCCTTCGAGGGCCTAGTGATTCGGAGCGGCGTTTTCCCTCTCGCTGGCGGCGGCACCGTGGCACCCTTACTGCAGTGCTGCGGGTCTGTGGCGCGCGTGGCGCGCTGCACCCCAAGTAAATCACTTGGCGGTTCCGCGCGGATGGGGCGGGGTGGGGCGTGCCCCGTTCGTCCTCCAAAAGCCCCCACCGCCGCCATGCTCTGTGCTCTCACCTTCTGTGTGCGCCCGTTCGGCTCGCCCGCCCGGCTCCCCGCCCTCCGCCCCCGCCGCGGGGCGCACGGGGGCGCAGCGGCGTAGCGAACCATCACGTGGCCATTATCAGTGGGGATGACGGCGAAAGGGGCGCGGCCTGGCGGGGCGGCAGGGCGGCACATGAATTGCGGTGGCCGTTTGCCCGCCTTCGCCACACTTTATTGATTGATGTGTCAAGGCACTCGCCGGTGCTAGCCGGTTCGAATAACGCGCCGCTGGGGGATCGGGGCGGGGCGGGGCGGGGCGCCAAAAGGCCGAGAGCTGCTGATTGGGAGAATGGCTTGGCGCCGCTTGGCGCAGCGCGCAGCGTGCGCAGCGCAGTCAGCAGCCGAACTGGCGCCTGCCGGCCAATAGCGATAGCGGCGGAAACGGCAAGGCCGCGTGCCATGGCAGTGCCATGGCAGTGCCATGGCCGTGCTGATGAGCAGAAAAGGGCGGGAATTGATCGGGGTCGCGGTTTGTTTTCGTCCCGCTGCACTGGTGGCACTTTGTGCTGCTCCGAAGGAATGCGTCGGTCAGGCGCGCGCTGGCAGTGCTGCCGCGATGCTCGGGCAGCGGAAGGCAAGCGGAGCCATAACGGATGCTGGCGAGCTGAGCGCTGCTCTAGGCTGGGTGGGCCGCGGTACGTACCGCGGCTCGTACAGTGCACGCCATTAAAAGTGCATGCACCGGGTGGGGCGGCCCGCGCTGCGGTGGCGGCCAGGCTCGGCCATCAATGTTATTGATGCCAATTAAGGCAAATGACTATGCAGGCCGGGGCCGGCCGCCGTTTGGGGCGTTAGTTAGGTGAGTCGCGTGGCGTGACGTGCGCCCCAACTATGTAATGTGGGGGTGACACGCGGCGTCGTTGGCAGCGAGTGGCACGCAGTGGCACGGCCAGGCACGGCACCCCGCCGCGGCCCGCGCTTGCGTCACGTCGCGCACTAGCCCTTTCATCGCTCTGTCTCCCTCACACTCGGGGCGCGGCTCGGAGGGGTGCGAGAGAGACGGCGGCTAAATGGCAGTTTGCAAAGAGCCGGCCTGCCATTGGTCCGCACGCGTCCGCACGTGCCGAGGCTCCGAGGCTGAGATTGCAGTGTGGAGTGTGCGGCTCTCGGTGTAGAGGCGTGGCGGCGTGGCGTGGCCCGGCCAGACCGGGCCGCGGTGTGCCGTGCACTATCGCTGCGGTTCCCACGCCACCTGGTGCGAGAGAGACAGAGCGACCAGACGATCCTTCGGGACGCCCGGCGTTGCCAAGGAAGACGGGGCCGCGCTTTGTCTCCCGTAATCCAATCATTGTCTCATCAGCCTCTCGCTTTCTCCGTCTCTCCCCCTCTCGCACTCTCTATCTCACTCTATCTGTTTCACTCTCCCTCATTATCTATCTCTCTCGCTCACTCACCCCTCTCCAGAACCTTGGGGCCTGCGGGCCTGCGGGCCTGCGGCTGGCCTGTCGTGTGTCGCGTCGTCGGTTCAGTGGACCGGCCGCGCGCGCGGGGTGAGGGCAGCGGGGGCAGCGGGGGATGGCGGCGGGCCGCGGCGGACGACTCTGTTTGGCTACCGCCTTGTCTTCTTTTTGGCGCGGTCCCCGCTTTGGTCCCTCCTGGGTCTGCGCCCCTCGCCGGGCCTGGGCCTGGGCGGGCCGCGGGTGGAGATAGCGGGGACACCAGGGCCGTGCGTTGCGTACCCCCGCACCGCCCGCACCGCGTCGTGAACCAGGACGACGACGACGTTGTTGTTGCTGGCGCGGCCGGCGCGTGAGGTGCCGCAAGACGCGCTGCCGCCGCGCTGGCCAGTGACTCGCCTTGCCGGCGCGCAATTGGCGATAGCGGTGCCTCGGCTGCGGAATGGACTCGAAGAAGGGCCAACGCGCTGGCCGGCCGCCGGGCTTATCGGGCCGACGCGCGCGACGCGGAGGGAAGCATTGCACCGCGTTACTTTGTATGCGATGTGCAAGGCCACGGCAGGCCGGCTGCAGTGCACCGCGTGGTGTCGCCGCCCCGCCAGTGCCGTGCCAGTGCCGTGCCAGCCCGCCAGGTTGATAGGTTATCAGCCACCCTCCGCCATCAGCCTGTCCGGCTGTCGCGGCCGGGCCGAAAGAGGCCGTGCCGGCGGTGCGGCACTGGCACGGCATCGGTGTCATCGGCCCGGCCTGAGGCCTGATGCCCCCGATGCCGTCGAGCTCGCCGTCGAGGCCCTGGAGGCGCTTAACGGCCAGTGACTCTGAGGCAAAGCAAGCGGAGTGGCCCTAATCGCTCCAGCGGCCTCCAGCGTCCAGCCTCCCCGTTGGCTTTATTATTAGCCGGCGTGGCCAGGCCGGCCGCCCCGCTGGCCGCGCCACTCCGCGACCGCGCCGCCTGCCCTGCCAGTCAATCGCTGACCCGTCGCCTCGCCAGAGTCCGCAGCGCGGCCGCGCGGTCCGGTCGTTGTTCAGGGCCTCGACGGCGTGCCTCTGACGCCGAGGTTCGCGGCTTCGCGGCGCGCGCCACAGTATGGGTACGGCTGCGCGTCCGGGACGCCGCCGTCGCCGACCCTCCGGCGGACTCGGCGCACCTCGCTGGAAGCACGCGGGGCGTCGCAGCGCCTCTGGAGCTGCAGTGAGTGTCGCCTGCTTCGCGTCGCCGGCCATCGAGGGCCTCGTTGGCGCCGTGTTTGGCGCCTTGCCGCGCGGCCCCCACTTGTCCGGGGCGCCCTCAGGGACTTCCCTCATTCTGGCGGCCCGCTGTTCCTCGCGGCACTCGGCACAGCACTGCAAGCGCTGCACGGCGAGGGGCTCATTAGTCGCCTTGTCTGCGAGTCGATTGCCCCGGTCCCTTGGTCCCGTCCCTGCAAAGGCCCCTTTGGTCCAGCACCGCGCGAGTCGCCGTTCCCTTTCCCACGCGGGTCGCGGTGACCACGCGGTGACGCAGACGTCCGCCGCGGCTTCGCGGAAGTCGAGATCGTCTCGGCCGCCGCGCCGAGTGAAGCTGAGCGCGGCCAATCCGCTCCTGCACGTTGCGCCCTCATGCACTTCCGCCGCCCCGCCCCTCACCCCGCCCCGCCCCGCCTCGCCCGGCTCTTATCTCTCCGAACCGTCTCGACGCCGCCGCGTGGCCGCGCCCGCCGCGTCTCGGACTTGCAGCGCGTCAGTGCACCGTGCAGCACGCCGTCGTCTCGGCGCGGCGGCGAGGCGCGACACGCCCCTTGTGTTTGTAATAGCCGCCACTCGCAGGTTGCGCGCCGTAATCCGTAATCCCGCTCCAATTGACGCTGATCCCGTGGAAAGCTTCCCAAAGCCCTTTTCTTCTGGTGTACGCTGTCGCGGGGCTCTTGTCCGCGGCCCGATAAGGCGGCAGAGCCCCGCCCCACCCCACCCCGCCGCCGGGAGTGTTGTGAAGTGGATGCAGAGGGCCTACGTCGGCCGGGCGAGAGCAGGCACACCCCCAAGAGCCGCAGTGGTGTCTGTGCAGACCAGACCGACTCGGTGCGACGCGCGCTGACGCGTGTTTCAGTGTTTCCACGGGTCGGCCTCCCCTCCCTCTCCTCCAACTCGGCGGGGGCGGCACCCATTACCTCGGGGGCGGCACAACGGCGAGCTTGAGTCGAGTCGCACAGCACGCCACCGCATTATTTATTTACCCATCGCGCTCGCTGCGCCGCACAAGCGAAAGGCGCGGGGAGAGGCAAGACGGAGACCTCCCCGCCGCGCCCCGCCGCGCCCCGCGTGTTCTTTATTCCTTTGCGAGGCGCAGGCACTCGAAAAAAATACAAAACGTCCAATGCGACGGTGACTCGGGGCGGGGCAAAGCTTTGCAGTGGCTGCCGGACTTTTGAGCAGCTGTTGTCGTCGTGTTTGGCGCGCCTTTTCTCGGCGATGTTGTTGTTGTTGGTATCGCCGCGATATCGCAGCGTAGTACGCGGCGACGCGGTGCGTGGCCGTCGTTGGCGTTTCATCACTTCTCGGAAGGCCGCCCAGGACAGTGTACTGTAGCCGCAGCCTCGCGTCGCCGCTTGGTCGCCGTCCTGGAGCCCGTAGAGGTCGCCACGCGTCTCCTCGCGTGTGGGGTGGTTTGATTTGTGCGGTCCGACTGTGACGCGTGCCCCGCCGCGCCCCGCCCCGCCCCTATAGCTCTGCGGGCTGTGGTACAGTAGACGAAGACTTGCGCTGCGGTCGCCGCACACTATTGGCAGCTGCTTGGCTGGTGTGTGTGTGTGTCCGAATGTAGGTCAAGGAACACGCGACAGCGAATAAGATGCGATCAACCAGTCCGAGCCACGCCTTGTCCATGGTGCCGCCGTGCGCGCGCCGCGCGGTGCGTTCTGCACGGCGTCCACGGCGGCCAGCAGGCCGTGCCCGGGCGGGCTAGGGCTCGGGGTGCTGCGGGTGCAGGAAGATGCAGGCGCCGCCGGGGCCACGTCAGGGGACCATTAGTTTTTCAGTGACACTCGAGGGCTTGCTGGACCAACCGAGGATGTGGTCGCGTGGCGCCGTGGCCGCGCGAAGGGCGACAAGGGTGCAATTAAGCCGAGAGGCCCCCCTCCCCCCTCCTTTCGACCTTGCATGGAAGGTGCCGCCCTTGCCCCTTTCCCTACCTCAATGGGATCGCCTCGCCAGTCTCGCCATCGCCCTGCCCTGTTTGGGGAGAGGAGCGAGCAGAGTCCCCCGAGTCCCCCAGTGCCAGTGGGCTGGTCGGCGTGGCCCTCGGCGTGGCCCTCGGCGTGGCCTCTGGAGATGGAACCAGGGATGTGCGGCCAGTAAACGACAAGTCTGCCGCCCTGCGCGTAGCGGCATAGCGTGTCCTTCGCGCTCTTTGTTCGCTGTGCGTGCGCTCTCTCTGTCTCGGCGGGGCGAGGCGGGGCGAGGCGAGCGCCTGCGGGGTAGGCAGCACGCGCGCAGGTGTGTGTTGCGGCTGCCGGCCGCCGGTTCGCAGGCGCCTCGCCCTCCGCGCCGCTCCCTCCTCCTTGCCCTGCCCGCCGCTTGACGTCTCCTTGTGTTGTTGCAGGTGTCCACGCATGGAGGATCTGAAGAGTCCCCGCGCCCGCCGCCGCACCGCCCCCCTGCCCCGGCCCCAGCTGAGGCTGGGCCCCACGCTGAGCCGACTGTTTCGACGGGACCTGCAAGAATGGATGACATGTTCTCTAGTGAGGGGGCAGCCGACGAGGACTCGGCACATAAACACTTGGCAATAAGTGCCCCCGGTGATGCCCCCTTCCCCAGTGACACCCCTACTCGCCTCCCCGCCCCCGCCGCCTTCTCCACGCCCCGCCACGCCCCCAACGACCCCACCGCCCCCTCCGACCCCTCCGCCGTTCGCCATGAAGGGCCCCACGCGTGTGCTAGTGACAGTGCTGCTGGCGGTGCTGGTGGTGCCAACCGCCTCCCCGGCGGCAGACCCGTCCGCCTCCACGTCCAGTTCGAGAAGCAGGTGAGTTGGCGCAGGCGGCACGCGGCGGCCGCCTCCAGCTGGACTGGCTGGCTGGCTATGTATTGACGGGGAGAGGCAGGGCAAGGTGGACACCAGAGACGAAATACCGGCAACTCCCCCACAATGAATTTCACCGCGCCACTTTGAAGCTGTCGTGTGATGGATGATTTCAATTAAATTATTGCCTATTCCATTTAATGAAATTTGCCTCTGATTGGTTATCTCACTAGCTGGGTTTAAGTTTCAAGTACTGTATCGCTATGAAATGCATCTAATCGGCTGAATTAGAATCACAAAGCAGCCGGGTGATGGGTGAGGGACCAGCCAAACGCTTATCTGATTGATAGTGAATGGGCTGCGCATGGCACGGCACGCCACGCCAGGGCAGTGTCCGGCAGTGTGCTAGCCGCTCGCCATGCTGCTGGTAGAGCTTCTCTCTCCATTTCGGGCAGTGAGTCAGAATATGTCTTAAACAATAGTTCAATAGGAAAACAAGATTTGGCTCATGATTCTGACAAACATTGGGAGGCTTTGTACCATTTGGCATTTTTGTTGGTGTTGATTGAGTCTGTCTGTGATAGGAGGAAGAAACGAAGAACCCTTGGGATGAAGGGTCAAGCAGGAAGGAAGAGGCTGCTCTGCTTGAGAAAAGTCAAAGCCAGCGTGTGCAGAACCAAAATGAGTGCGCCAGTCCAAGTGTGTCACTTACTTCTCGGTCAAGTGACACAACCAGTGGAAACGAAGGGGGGAACAGTGGTACGAGCAGCAGCTCTAGCAGCTCCTCATCCGACGAAGATTCTTCCTTAGGTATGTTGCTTGAAGACCTAATGGCATGGACGAAGAGCCAAATAATTATGATAGACAAACTAAGGAATGCAAAATAACAGTTTTAATCAGTACTTATCAATTTGAAATGCGATGTGCAAGAAAAAACTAAACTTCATCTCTTTTCAGCAGAAAAATTTTCTGAACCCGCCCGGCCCGACGGTGGATGGGGATGGGTTGTGGTGGCAGCCTCCTTTATGGTGAATTTGATTGCTGATGGCATCACCTTTTCATTCGGCGTTCTCTATGTGGAGTTTCTCAATTATTTCAATGAAGGCAAATCAAAAACTTCCTTGATTGGTTCTCTTTTTATGGCAATGCCTCTTTTATCTGGCCCTGTTGCAAGTTTCCTCACTGACAGGTAAAAGTCAGTTGGTTGATACAGCTTTTACTTTAAACTTTGTACCCAATTGTCTTTTAAACAAACTCGTATTTCCTTAGGTTTGGCTGTCGGTGTGTCACAATTGCAGGGGCATTGATGGCTTCAGCTGGATTTATTGCGTCATCTTTTACAAATTCCTTAGAAATGCTCTTCATTACCTTTGGTGTTATTGCCGGATTTGGTCTCTCTTTATGCTATGTGGCAGCTGTTGTTATTGTCGCTTATTATTTTGATAGCAAACGTTCGTTGGCAACTGGCCTTTCTGTCTGTGGGTCTGGCATTGGAACTTTTGTTTTTGCACCTCTAACTCAAATTCTGTTGGTAGAGTACGGGTGGAGAGGTATGAAACAATTATTTATCTTGCATCTTATTGTTTTGATTCATTTATGTCTTTATTTGCTGATCAAACCTGAAATATCTTGCAGGTACTGTTCTCATTCTAGCTGGCTTGCTTTTAAACCTCTGTGTTTGTGGGGTTCTTATGAAAGATTTAGAGTGGACTTCTCGAACTCGCAAGGAGCGTGCAAGAAAAGCTAAGCTGGAGAGGGGTGCAAGAAGGCACAGACGGAAATTGAATCACACTGGTAGTTCAATTAAATCAGGTCGCACTAATGGATCCAGTGCTGATACTATGTCTAATGGAGCAACTCCCTATATTTGCGATGTGGAACAGTTACGCAAACTCCTGAAAACTCCAGGTATGTTTCTTTTTTGTTAGGTATTTACTAGTAAAATACCAACTGCAAAGAGTGTTACTTAACAGTGAATTGAATTTTTACTTAAGGTTCTGCAGCATTCCAATTTAGTGAGGGAAATGGTGCAGTTAGTGTGGACCCAGCCTCTCGAATGTGTAGCTCTCTTGTTAACTTACCTACATTTGTTCGCAATAAAGAAAAAGTGCCAATTGAAGTTATGGAGCTGCTAAGTACCAACAGCCAAATCTACAAGTGTGTAACATTGTTTGTTCATACATTATTAGAAAGCTGTCAGAAGTGTCGTATTAAATCTATATGTTTGCATTTTTTCCTTTTCAGAATTTTACAACACAACTATCCCAACTTATTGGCATCTCGCAGTTTTAGTGACTCAGGCCGTTTGAATGATCCACAGAACCTGCTTTTAGATGTACATCCTATTGAAGGGGTAGGTAATAATTTCTACTTTAAAATGTGCCCTTTTGTATCTCAGAGTAATTGACCAGTTTTTCTTCGCTCTTCAGGTTTATCTATCAATTTTGGAACCACCCGATGAAAAACAAGAAATTTCCAAGGAAATTTATTCCGTAAATAATGAAGATTTTATCAGTGAACCTCTTAGCAAGGAACATGATCTCCCAAGTTGTATTGAGCTCAATTCTGCCAATTTTAATGAGCACGAGGCAGAAAAATGTTCAGATAAATTGGGAACAAAATTAGTTTTATCCGATCCAAATTTAGGTAGAAAAAATGGCTTTAAGATTGCAACAGATAGCTGCATCTTGTCTAACTGCAACAGTTCTCAGCAAGATCCTGAAAATACTATGTTAAATGGAAACAATGTTTCTGAACTCAAAGCAAAAGTTTTATTTAACAATAATATCGATCTAGTAAATGGGAAAAACATTCCAAATGGAGAAGCAAACCATGGTAACAGACAGGTGTCACATCGTTTGTCTTTACCTGTTAGTAGTCAAAACCCACAAGGCCGCAAACTGCCAACTTCATACCTGAAAGACTTAAGAGTTCACAGACATTCCTTAACATACAGAGGTGCCATGCTGAACATTAACCGTTATCGCCTCAGAGCTTCGTCATGTCCTGATATTTACAGAAATTCAATGACAACAATAGCCATGGAGAAAGATGAGGTTCGTAAGTGTTGTGGGGTGGCCAACTTATTCAATAATAATAATAAATTTTAAAATAACCTAAATATTTTTTTTTGCAGTGGTATGCTGGTCTCTGGGAACTGTGGTATGTTGTGGTGGACATGTTAGACTTTTCCCATTTTTTGGACTTGCGGTTTTCCTTGTTTGCTCTTTCTAATTTTCTCCTTTATACATGGTAAGTAATTGATTTTCATCTATTCCCATGCTGTTTATTTAACAAACAACGTAAATGCATTTTTAATCTGTTTCAATTTCAGGTACGATGTGCCTTATGTATTCTTAATGGACAATGCCATTCAAAACAACTACACAGAATCCGATGCATCATTCCTTTTCAGTGTGATAGGTATTATGAATATGATAGGCGAAGTAAGTGTCCTTTGATTAGGCTCATCCATGTTTTTCAAATGCAAGAAACTGGAATGACATGTTGATCTTTGTTCTGCTGTCAGGTTCTCCTTGGATGGATGGGTGACCGCCCATGGGTGAATCCAGGACTGGTCTATGCAGTCTGTATGGGAGGATGCGGAGTTTTTGTGGCTCTTGTCCCATATCTCACTACTCATAGCTATAGCTTGTTGGGTGTTGTTTCTGGTGGATTTGGATTTCTAATAGCAGCTAACTATTCCCTGACATCAATTATTTTGGTGGAACTCATTTCAATCGACAGATTTACAAATGCCTATGGACTACTCTTGCTTGTTCAGGGCATTGCGAACCTTGTTGGTCCCCCATTGGCAGGTAAAGTTAAGGACTTTTTTCTACCCACTATGTGTCAGTTTTCCTTAAAATATTAACACATGTAACTCTTTTACAGGATGGATGTATGATGTGATTGGCACTTATGACCTTTCTTTTTACTTGGCTGGATTATTCATCGCAATATCTGGACTACTCCTTTTAGTCCTTCCTGCTTTTGAAATGTATAAGGGCATGAAACGGAAATGGTATTTGAAGAAAAATATGGCTTTTGTAACACCTACTATCAATGACGATGGTCAGTCAGTGTTCAGAAAATTCTTTGGGTGCTGTAATCACCCAGGAAAGTCCAAGCCTACCACAAGCTTACGTAATGTCTAGTTGTGATAGCAAATCCAGGCTGAAGATCTTCCTATTAAATTATTATCTTAGCTTTAGCTATTCTTGAAATTTTCTTGAATCAGATTTTTGTAATCTTGTAGAAAGTTTTCAATGATTCATGTGGAAGTTTTCACAGCATGTTAAGTGTTGTGTTGTGATAAATTTAAATGTGTTCAAGACAAGAGTAAAACAACGTCTTTTTTCTTCTTCTGTTTCTCTCTGTCTTTGACATTTTGTCAGTTTTTACACCAAAGAAAGATTTAGATAGTTGTTACAAAGACAAAATAGTGTTAGTTGTGTTAAGGTGCAGTAATTTGGATTCATCTGGTGTGACGTCGTGAGCTCTGGTGCATTTATTGTGGATGATGTTTATCTGATTGTTATCTAGCATATTGCATTATGTGGCCTAAGAAGCAATGAATGCACATGACCATTATGATAAAACTTTATATAATAGGTTCTGTGGTGAATTTGTTTTCATTTTATCACAGTCACCGTGGTAAGTCATGAAACTGTTTCTTTCAAAGGCAAAAGGTGTATTTGTATTATGTTTGAGAATAGATTTTCTGCCGACACCAGTGGAATGATGTAGATATTACTGTGCGTTTTGTTTTCTTATTTATGTTAGTTTGTTATTTACATTTCACTATATAATTTTGAAATATTTGTTAGTTTTAAAGTCTCTTGATATTTGGTACTTAGTGTGATAAGCGATAAAATGCAAATCTAGTTTATTTCGTTGAATCTAAATACGTAGATAGTAATTGAAATGGACTGCTGATTCCTTTGTATCCCAAGTCAAGATGATTGTGGTAACAAAGTTGTTTTATTTGTAGAGCAGTATTAGATAGCCTTTACTTTCCCTTCCCCGAGCTTTATTTTTTAAATATAGGAATAAAAAATTAACTCTTTATTTCCAGCTTAGGAGTTTGTATGTAATAGTTTACAATTTATGTATACATCAATACTGTGATAGCAATTTCCCTAGTCATTGCTTCTGTACATGATTGCTCTGACCGGTCAGTTTATTAACAAATTTTATTCTCTTTCTTAAGTACCCTTACATCTTTCATTGTTTCTCAGTAATCAGATCTTGATAGTTGTTACTGTAATTTTATTGTTATTCTGAGTCATTGTGACATGATGTACTTTCTGTAATTTTCAACCTTCAAATGTAAGAAGTATCCACATTGAGTAGATTTAGGACCAATTTCACGCGTATTTTTCGAGGTTCGATTCCCAGGCTCTTTGAAATTCCATTCAGAGTGGGACATGCTTTGTTTCCTCCTTCAGAAACCAGAGGTGGCCAATCTTCATCCCATAAGGACAGTCACCACTTTTGTGGATTTCACTCAACTTCACTTAGTGCCTTTTTACCCAAAAGCTTATTGTTATTGGGTTTACAAACACACAATTCTACTGTTATGTCATCTATCATGCAATAATCTTACTCCAAACAGGGCTAGGCTGTGTTGCAGTACAAACTAGGAATTTAAATCAAAAATTAGATTGTAGCCAAAGAAAGACAACAGAAGTGTCTCTCCCTGTTCCTGAAGCGTCCTTTGTCTTCCTCTTCACCTCCTTTCCTTTTGTTTCCTAATACTTTGAAATTTTTTTGTAGCCTCAATAGAATTTCAATAAGCAATAATTGTTCGATAATACTCCTATTTTTCGTAATGGATTGTAATTAAACTGGTTGATATTGAGCATAGATTTTCTTGTACACATTTCCCCTCATCTAAAATGTTTCCCAACCAAAATTTTGTGAGCTTTCAAAACTTTTAGTATGATCTCTAAATTTTCTTGTAATTCTGTACTCTGGTCTTACCAAACATGTGTAAAATGTGTGGCTTGGCACATTTTTATAGTAGTGTTCACATTTCACAGATTGGCCGATTAAGGAGGATCAGGTATTGAAGTAATGCAAATTGTTGAGGCAACACTTGATGTCGTCTGTCCTTCAGACAAGTACAGAGATTGATGCTTTAAGGTTGCATGAATGGTATGTGACAGCTGCTTGTATTGAGCACCATCCTATTTTTAAGGCTCTCTTTCGACTTGGGAACAAATGGGTATCAATTGAAAGAGATGTGTTGAATGCCAGACCAAGGTAAGAACGAACTGACTGACTGATTGTGTTTATAAGGGTATTGGCTGTCTGTGAATATGTAAATGTATTGTTATTTAGTTAAAGATATTTGTAAAAAAATTATTAGCTGTTATAGAATTTACAGATTTTGGTGAAATCTGATTTATTTAGAATACATACTGTATTTCTTTTTCTACTGTAACACTTGATCTATGTTGTATGAAATCTTTCTTTCAGAAGTGAGGTCAAAAAGACACCCAATAATGAACAGTTCTCTAGGTTTTTCAAATTGAATTTTAGATGTAGTTGCAGTAGGTTTTGTACTTTTTATCCAAATGGATGATTGGTCAGCACTCCATTGTATGACAATTTGCTTGGAATGTCTTACCCTATCCTTATATGCTCAGTCAGCCAACTTTTTTTTTATTATTTCCATTCTTTGTCATTAAAATTAGAAACTTAATCCCTTTTCATGTATTTTTATTTCATCAAACAAGTGAAAGCTGTATTTGATCTGATTTCATTGCATAATCACCCAAAAAAAGTTGATGACCATTTGGCAAAGCACCATCAACCCATCAAACAGTGTTTAGTAAAAAATAATCATAATGATTGAATTGTGGTAACTTATTTCTAGTACCTAGCTTCACAATACACTTGAAAGTCAAATACTGTGATTAAAAACAGCTGCAATGTCATACTTGGGTTGTATCAAGAGGAAATTCCCAACAGTACACAGAATTAAGTCGTGTAGGCAACTCACTCTCAGTACTCTTGGATACGTGCCTGAATGAGGGACGTCGGGTTTGGCCTCTTGCCAGGTAATGATAGAGTACGTATAGTTGTTTAGTTTTTACTCTCAATTAACTTTTTAAAAGTATGAATAGAATAGCCAAACAATGCACAGCGGAACACAGTTCAAATATAGAAGGAAACACACAAAAACAACAAAAATCAGTCCAATTCAATTTTAAGACCTAGCTTCATATCTCCTCTGACAACAGTTACAAATAATGCTGTATTATCAATGGTAGCTTCATAGAGTTGGTCTGTTGATTTGATTGGTTTATTGTTAACAGCAATGATTACATCTCCCCCCTTGAGGCCCGCTCTGCAAACAAATCCAAATGTTATAAACAAGTAACTGAAAAGTAATAAAAAGTTACTGTTGAGTGAAAAAAAAAATACATAGATAAGAATACTTACCTCATAGCAGGCGATAAAGCATGTACATCTACAATGTAAACACCATGGGTAGCTCTTATAGAGTAATTGTGGTGCCTCTCTATTTCAGACCTCAGGTATGGTGTCAGGGAAAGACATGTGATGCCTATGTTACGTGCAGAAGACTTGTTTGGTTTTTTGGGTGATGATACATGAGGTTCTAGAAACAAAGAATCACTTCAGTTATTTTTGTGACTGAAGTACAGAATTTCACAAGGCAATTTGTTTCATTTCCTTTAAAATCTTTAAAAAATATTTATACTGACTGTGTGGATCCTCAAGAAATTCCTTCACAATATTGCTGGGAATAGCAAAAGAAATACCATGAAGTAGCTTCATAGAATTTACACCAACCGCTTCACCATCCAAATTAACCAGTGGTCCTCCTGAGTTTCCTTGCTATAAGAAATAATTGTAACATATCTAAAATTTGCTTTTTTTAAAAAAAAAATAAATGATAATTTGTACTTGCATTGATAGGAGCATCAGTCTGAATGTATTCCATTTCCTGGGAGTGCAATCGTAATTCAGTGCTTTTTCTGCCCACTGTACTAACAACACCACAGGACACAGAGTTCGAAAGACCAGCAGGACTTCCAATGGATATAACCCATTCTCCTGGTCGAAGGCTGTCGGATGAGCCTAATTTCAAAACTGGCAGATTTTTCTGTAAAACAATGACGTTATAGATTAAAGAGAAGTAGTATTATTTCGATAATGATCATTTAAACTCTGCTTACACATGGTATACGAATTGTTGCGAGGTCTGTCATTTGATCCATTGTTTCCACTCTTGCCTCAAAAGTTCTTCCATCAAGCAAAGTGGCCTAAATGAAAAAAGGAATAAAAAAAAATTTGTCACACAGGTTAACTTAATTTCCCTTGCAAGTTCAAAAAGACAAATAAAAACGCCTACCTGAATTACTGATTTATTGTACACAGCATGAGCATTAGTGACAATTAAACCATCAGACGATACAATAAATCCAGATGCTGCACTTATCTCCTGGTATCCACCAGTAATTTGAGATCTGAGACATAAAATTGAAATACCTTAAAAACCGGATGACAGGTAGAGACATTTTGATAACGCAGGGGCAAGGCCTGTCGAGCGTGTCTGGTTTGTTCTTACGTGTGCAAGCTGACAACAGTGGGAGCAACTTTTTCTACAACATCCGCAACAAAATTGAATTTATTGCGTGAGCCACCTGAACCTGAATCATAAGGTTCAGCAGCCAGTACAGATGAAAAGAATTGGTGATCAGGATCGTTCCACTTCAATAGGAGACAACTCCCAACAGCAGATAAACACATGCCAAGAGGTAACGTCCACCTGGAAGTGTTTTCTCTGCCACCTGAATACTCATTTCTGCTACCATCGTTCTCTAAACCGTGTGTACTGAATCTACTAGAGCAGACCGAGTTGACAGATAAAATTCTGGTCTGCTTCAAGAAAAGAGGTACTATTCTTAAAGATGATCTGAACGCCATCATGCAGCAACAGCTGTAGATCAGAGTTCCTTTCTATCGAAAAGTGAGTTACTTGATAGCACAACTCATTCCAATTTCGGGCCCGAGCTAAATATATATTTCTTTTGCATTTCTGTGATCAACTTCAAAACCAAAACAACAGTATCAGAACTGCGGTTGTGTCGGCTGCGCGGCTCCTGTGAATAATGTTCACGGCCAGTTTGATGTTTGATCATGGATGACCGGATGTACGATTGAAAGCGGGAGCGATTCAAAACCCTGGGTGCAAGCGATCTCCTTCGTTGCGTATGAGTGGCTAGGCAGCATTTGCCTTCTAGAGCTCGTTTGATTCTTGGAAGACCCGTCGATTATCGAGATGCCTTTTGGTCAAGAATGGAGCTATGAAAGGTGTGGAGTACGCGGGGTAGGGTACGGCCTCCACGGCCAGGACGCAGATGGGCTCAGCGGCAGGATCGTCTTTCACTACGACGTCTGCTTTCCTTCGCACTTCGCACTTCGCACTCGTCGACATCCACGAACTGCCACGGAGCAGAATGGTCCGTGGAACTGCGTCCACACGCGCGCACGCGTATGTGTCAGTTGTTGTTGGCTGCGTTTGTTGTTGTTTGTGTGAGCTCCAGGGAGTTCCCCGCTTGACCGCGCGCGGCAGGTCGCGCTCTGATTGGCTACCACCCCCTCCTCTCACCGGACCGCCGACAAGATTCAAACGAGGTGGCGCTCAAGTACACGTTCAGTGTTCAGCAAACTCGTGTTTTGAGTGTGTGTGTGTGTGTGTGTGTGTGTATTGTATTCTCAGGCGAAATACGGCGTCGGTTAGGCGTCCTTTGAAGGAACAGGACCACAAAGAAAATAAGTTTATTCTCACTAAATACTCACACTTTAATAACGAAATAAAATTGAATATTATAATTTTATCTTTTCTAACATTGTATAATATAATAGAAAGAGCAATTATTGCATTTCAAACTTTTTACAAAATGTACTTGATCGTTTATGAGTTGTCTTAAAAATACCTTATTATTGCCATGGGCAAGCTGGGAGTTCACATTACATTGAACATGGTTCACATGTTTGACACATGCAATGTGTTACACAGCACACGAGCAGAACATTAAATTATTGTTTTCACAGTGCATAACAATAATCCTTTTTACTTTCAAAAGACAGATACTTATTGGAGAACTAGGCAAATTGGTAACTCTGCTCAGTTGCCAATATACAATCTCTTTTGAAAATTAATTAGCACAGCCCTGAATTGTGATTGTGATGTCAAGACATTTTTATTGTTGAGAAAAGGGCATAGGAAGAGTTATGACCAAAGGTTCTATGTTTAGATAGCAACACATTTTTTTAACCATTTATTTAAAACAAAGTCAATTTCCGTTTCTGTTTTGACAATATTCAATCTCTTTATGGTCGAGAGAACCCATTGATCTGGAATGTCAGATGTTTCTAACTATTCCTTGATGCTTCATGAAGAATTCACTTTTTTATAATAACACTTACTCAGTTACCAGCCTCTCTATTTGACATCTAGTGGATAAACCACTCACAACAATGAATATTTTGTTTAAAAAAATTAAAAATAAAAGTGTATAACAGTGCATGCATGACAATCACACATCACATTGATGATTGATTGTGCTATATCTTGCAAGCGTTTTGGTGCACAGAACACAATGACGAAGTATTGTAGTGCAGTTTTCATCCTTATTAAATTTGTACCATGTCGCCTGCCCTACAATGACCACGATCACTACGTTGCCAGAAATAAAGGGGTCAATAAAACCTTACTGACATTCTTGGAAGAAATTACTGAGTATTGGCATTTGAGCTCAGTCCTTAAGTTTCTATTAGAAAACAAAAATGAAGCTTGGCACTGGTTCCCATTAAGGAGAGTAAAAAGTAACATTGTAACAACAGATGATTTTCAGCATACAATACAATATTGAGGATAGAAATGGACTGGACACTTTGTTGTGTCCTCATTTATTGATTCATTTTAAGAGGATCATATATTATAAACCCTGTCTTTTCAAAGGGAACCTTCTTCCTTTCCAATTGTTTTCTCATGTTTGGCTAAGACAAAAATCTCTGCTAAATTTTTAAAAATTTTATGAATACTAAAACACTTGCTAAAAATGTACACTGCACAATGTCTTGTTGTCCCTCAGTGCACTGAAAAATGATTGGTCTTTTGGAACACCTGCTAAATAATAATTTAAGAATTGAAGCAACAACGAAAAGTCGATGGGTTGTAGAGGTTTTGAATGTTTCTCAATTTTGGGAGCTTGGGAGTCATATTGTTGCTTTCTACCAGCTTCATGATGCATTGGCTACTTGTATTGATTAATCTTAAAGATTGTCTATTGATTAGAAGCAGGAATAGTATATTTTGGAAAAAATTAACTTAAAAAGGTGAGTGAGATCAAATGAAAATTTATCAAACTCATTAGCTGAAACTGACATGTGCTCAGAGATCAAAACACCATACAGCTTTAGCTAATCTAACGAAGCATGTCATGCTAAATTCTGCGGATTGATTATTTTTACAGTTATATTTTTGAAAGAAAGGAACAAGAGTTCAACTAGAGAAAAAGATGCCACATGTGTTTCATTTGTTATCCTGCGGCATTTGTTATCCATTCTGATTTCTACTAACATACACTTACGTGTGCTACTAAAATGTTTTGATGAGAAAGATTCATTTAAACAAGAAAATTAACAAGTGTGTAGTAGAATAAACCACCAATGTTTTGTTCTTAACAAGACATGTATACATCATAGCACCATCACAATGACAAACAAGATACTAAACTTCATTGACTAATTAATGCCAACAATAACTATATTATGAAACCTAATGGCACACATTTTATAAGATTTTGATTTTAGACATATTGCTGACGTTTTCAACAGAAACGCAAAAGCGTTTTACGATTGTCACAGACTAAGGTTTTATCTACCTCAAACAATCACCTCTTATGTTGTTTTTAAATGCATCACCGAAATTTCAATTAAGTCAACATACCTTGTTGCTGGAAAAACAGTAAAGAACTCATTGCTTCTGATACCATATGACAATTAAGTTCAATTCATTCAATGATTGGTACAACTACAAGCAAAAACCTAACTTGACTCAGAACTTGCCTTCAAATTTAAAAGAAGCGAACAAAACTCACTTCACTCATCCTTCATAAGAGCTCCTCTTTCCTATAGAATCAACTATAGTAAGGATTGTGACTAGAACATTTGCTCCCCATTAACAACAATAAGATAGATTAAAAATAAAGAACACCTGTATGGTTGCCTCACATAGCCATCTCCAGGCCTAAGATCACGGGACATCCTTTTATGAGGCAATTTCTTAAGTTTTGGAAAAATTATAACTCATCCATTGTTGATTAGCAACAACCTTCCTACATTAAATCAGTTCCCATTCACTGTATATTTAACTACACTAAAAAAAAGTGTAATGTAACCAGACATATTGCTGTGCATACATTTTCCTTCTTCCACAAAAGTCAATGCATTGGTCCATTAGGGTACCTCATTCTTGAACAAGGAATTCAATATTCCGTGAAAATAGAAAAAGATTGTCAAATTGACAAATTACTAAAAACAAACCACAAAGCCTGTACATATGCTGACTTATTGAAGTATCTCATTTCTTCAAAACAGCAGATAACAAGAGCCAAAGGAGCAAAGGCTGGAAAAGAGTTGTGGGCAAGCAAGAGAAAGACGACAACACTTACAGATTTGAAGACTAGTTTCATGTTAGAGGTGTCCTAGAGAGAATTTTCCGGGTAGGACCCCAACCAGCAACGAATAAATACAACAGTCATCTTCAGCAGATAAAATGCATTAAGCCCCAAAAACAATTTAACTCGCAGTTAAACACAGTAGGTTACAAATTTTTTAATGACATGGTCTCAAATTATTTAAAAATTTGACAACATAGAGTTTTTGACACCAACTTGGCACACTTGGTAAACTTTAAGATGTTGTCTGAATTCAATAGACAAGAATCTCAAAACTAACAAGTCCGAAAGGAGTCTTTTGGCACAAAACAAATACATGGCACTGTTACCTATACACATATCAAAAACATTAAAAGCAATGAAACCTGTGTATTATTAATACTGGGAAGACCTGTTCCTGACCAGCAAGTAATTAACTAACTAACCATAACTGAAATAAATCCGAGAATGAATCTTAAGAAATGTGATTTCAAAGTGAATTATTCTTGTAAGCCTAAAAACGGTACACATAAAATTGAGTATACTTGCGTGTGAGTACTAGCTGTACGCAACAACCTGCGACAAAGGTAACCAACAGCTAGCTAAAGTACCCCACCTACAAAATCTGAGGGATTCATCGCTTCCAATATAGGTCTCATGTTGCTGTGACATTTGGCCATAAAATGTTAAGGCAAAGATGCCTTCAGATCTGAATTCATTATGTGTATCTGCCCCCGAAGACAATTATTTGTTAAAACATAAAACAATAAATACATCAATGGTGACTAGTATAAGTAATAATATGCAGCAAAGGCTATTAACACAGGGAAATAGTGGTTGCTACAGATTCACAAACAAGTAAGAACATGTGAAGCCCAATTGGCATAACTACAGAAAAATTTTAAAGTAACTTTGAGAATATAGAGCTATACAATTCCAAATCACAGCAATTACTAAGTACCAGCCTTAATCATGATTAAATGTTTCAATACTGTTGTAAAGAAATCATATGAAGAAGTAGCCAGTTAGAACTGATATTTCTAACTGTAATCTACAAACAAAGGTGCTAAGATATAGACAACAAAAACCTAAATGTCCTGTACAAAATAATTTCTATGCAACTGCAAGTAGCTCATTGGGAAGAGCTCTAGACCCTTACCGCCGTTTCGTTTGATGTTGTTGTTTATTTGTTTAAATGAAAACAAAGAACTCACAACTTTTGAAATTTTTGGCTCATTACCACTGGAAGCCTCTTATTCTCTGGCTTGGTTGTGAAATGCATGGCAACCGTTCAAGATTGGACAAAATTACAATAGGAGAACAGTTGTGGTGAAAGTTGAAAGGGGAAGTTGTAGTTCCCCAACAAAAACCATTGCCCATGGGTAGAACAGAGACTGTTTTTTTCCTCCAATGTCTAGTCAAGAATTGGAACCAATTATTTCAAGATTTTTCACACTGACTTAGTGCCTTATGGCACCAACAATGGCCATTTGCAAAAATTTACTCATGTCATTTCAAACCATCAGATATTGATTAGGTGGCCATAAAGCTGATGATTGAATTTGTCAGAGGCATCCATACAAAGAATTGGCCATTTAAAAAAAAGATGATAGGTGATTGGGGATAGGGCAAACAGTCTTGCTCCTTAAGATAATCATCACATTCCAATTTTCAAACAGGAAGATTTAAATAACTCGGGCAATGCCCTATTAATTGCATCAATCCAATGACTGGTGATAAAATACATATGTACTGAGAATAATAAAATAAGTAGATCCTTACACTAAAATTAATAATAAAAATCAACAAGTGAGCTAAAATAGCACTAAAACAAAATCTATTTTTAACACCATACAGTGCAAACAGGCCAACAAAAAAATTCTACAGCACAAACACAACCATCACATATCACCTACTAACTTATGTTTTTACAGTAAATCATTAACTGACTTGTCAATAGCTCACTGTTGAAACAATTAAAAAAGGAGAAATTTTCCTCAATATACAGGACAAAAGCCATAGTATCACAATTAAAATTACACTCAGTGATAACATTTGGGGACTATTTACACCAAAAACTTCAGATATAATATGGTAGAACAAAATACAAAGGGTTCTCGTGGAAACCAGTCCAAGTGAGCCATAGCTGATAGTCCAGGCTTGTACCTTTGGGTTGGACTGTGTCTTGACTCAATACATGTGTTTCTTTTTCTAAGAAGAAAGGGTGTTGATTGTTTTACTGCAAAGTTAAGTACTCCAGTGCAAATGATGCCCCCATAATTGTAATTGTCTTTGAAGTAAAAAAGAAACCAAAAGGGCACTTTTAATGCAACCATTGAATTAATGGTAAATAAACTCTTGATCAGAAGATTTAGTGTTAATAGTCCCCCAGTGAATGGACTATGACTACAACAACACACATCAGAATTAAAGATCTATACCCTTAACAAAAAAAAGAAAAAAGAAAAATCAAATCTTTGGCTTTGTTCCCATTGAAGTAATCACATTCTACCCTATCAGTCCACTTCAACACTGATATCAATTACATGGAAATCGTTGCCTCTCATATTCAACACACCCATGGCAGTGAAACAAATTAATATCCTTCATTGTTTGTGATGGTAGATCAATTTTTCTAAATGTATAATTGAATAAACTCTGTTATTACATCTATAAACACAAACATATTTACAAGATTAAAAAGAAAAAACATCAATACATTGCTCTGTATCAGAGCTCCAACCACCATGAGCGTGTTGAAGGAAAGTGATAATAAATAACAATTGATTATAATTATTAAGTAACTGACAATTCATTTTTGATGTGACTGCACCTTCATCTCAGTGAAGTGGCGCCTTGACAATGTGGTTGGGAGCAATGTAGTGATAGCCAGCCATGGGTACCCCAGCAGTCTCCACAGATATTCTGGAAATGACAAAACAAAACAACTGTGAAATTTTTTCAGGAAGGGGGATGCTGCACTTAAACAATAAAAGGTGGGAAAGGATATCAGATATGCACTGTCAGATGCATGTTCGTATTACCTCTAATGAAGAATACTGGGATAAGGTGGAGTGAGGCTGAGGAGTTGAAGAAGGTATAGGAAGTGGATGGAATGCCACGAGAAATAAGAGGATGCAAAGGAAAAGCACACATTTTTCAGACACATGTGCAACAAAATCTTTGAGAGTAAATATGAATATATGGTGACTGTTTGAGATTTCCCTGTGTGTCAAAGAAAACTCAAACTGAAGTGTAGGCATGATGAACAACAAGAGTTTTTTTTCCCCCAGCAAATTTAAAAAAGTGTTGATCAAATAAGATACCAACTGCGATAGAAACAGCATCTAGAAATTTGTACAAGGGTGAAGTGCATATTTCATAGAAAGAAAAGTGCATATCATGCATTGCATGCATTAACTTGTTTAGGATTTTGCCAAAAATGACACCTCCTGCCCAACCTCTTTCCCTAAAGTTACATCTGCTTAATTACTTCATATTATAAATAAGGCGATCCTTGTGTGTCTCTCTTCCTACAGGACCAACAAACACTGTTTCAGAAATATTTCTTCTCATCTCCGGACAATAAAAGCATGTCACTCAACAAGCATTCCTCTTACTTCCTAAAGAACTCTCAATAGAATCTAAAGGGGGATTTAAGCGTACAAAAGAAATTCACATGTAGGTTTTCTGGCAGATTTTATTAGCCACTCATAAAGTATGCAAGCACATGCAACATATGAACATAATCTTCGGCTACACCAGACAACTGCTTATAGATATGTGAATGTGTGATTGTATACACAATTGGTCGAATGTGAATCAAGAACAATTAACAGAAATACAGACTAAGAATAAATTTTACTCAAAAGTAAAACAAAAATACAAGTGGTATGCTTGCTCTTTTTTTGTTGCAAGACTCTCAATATAGCAAAGAAAAAGAAACTACAAAATTTGTGAGTTGTGTACAACTCACCACTACAAAATAGGAAATCTTCCTCTAAGAAAGAAAAAAACAACTTCAGTTGTACTGAAGACATACATAAATTCTTGGCAAATATTTCATAATGTAATTTTTAAAAGGTTGGAAACATGCTTAGCTCAAAACAATTGATTAATAATACAAAAATACTGTAATGTATTCATCACTTCCCCCAAAACAACAAACATATACACAATTATGTTTCAGTAATTTATAGACGAAAAACTTTGCTTTCTTTTATTTTAACAAGAACATAGAAAAGCAATGGTGATATGTTTAAATCAACTATAACACACATACCTAGTTTCAGCCTAGAACTGAAATGTAAAAAGTGGAAATTGCAACTAAAATAAGTAAAGCCACAACCTTAGAGTGGCCCCTTAGGATGATACATGAAGTTAACTTGGGGTGAGAAAAGTGTGAGCTTAACAAGTTGAAACACAATAGAAAAGAAACAATTATCAGTGCTCAGCACAGCTAGATAAGGAGATTACAAAAATTCCTGCATAATAATTTACAAATGGATATGTGCTTAGTCTAGACTTTTAAAGCAAACTCTCTATTGCCGTCACACTAATGTAGATAGGAACTGGGCAGTATGACAAGATACTAAAGAAAACATTTAAAAATTTCCAGGAATTTGGAAAAAGACAGTTATGGAACACACATATCCATCCCAAAAGAGCTCCATGTGTGAAATTCCATACCTCCAATAACAACCTGCTGGGCTATGGATCACAGAAAATTATTGTATACACTGCACTCCTGCCTGATGAAAAAATGTGTCACTATTCACAATTCATCATATGTGAAATGACGGCCTACACTCTTAAATTCCAAATTAAACAAAAAATGGAGCAGCTGATGAATGTTTGAAGGGAAACATCAACTTTCTACTGTGAGAAATGTATATTCAGTACAATGCTTTAAAAGTCAAAACAAACTAGTAGGATATGAAATGCAATGTCCTTTTCTTTTTTGTAGGTTTTCCTTTTTTAGTACCCTTGGCACATTACCCCATCAGGTCCTACTTCTAGTTAAGAAATAGACCTGTTTTCAGACTTGTGACAAAATTAATTCATGTGGTACAGACCCTGAATACATTTTTAGACACTGAATTCAGCACAGCTCAAACTAAGGTCATTCTCAAGGGAGGGGGGGGATCACAGCTAGGACCTACATAACTGAGTCAAACAAAAACGTTGCTATGTATATATATATATGCATATATAAACGTAAATGAATCTAAAAAGTGATGATTCTTCCGCAAAACACTTTACTTTCATAAGTCAACTGATTCCCACTTCTATTTGAACATTTGAACTGAGCACACTCAGAGGTACGGTGTGTAATCTACAACATACAAGCTTGTAGGTACAGAGACATCATCAGCTCTTGGCACTCTATTCGTTCCACAAAACCATGGACCAATCTGTAATTAGTGCTGCCCTACAGAGACAATTTGACAAAAATCCTACTCTATAAAACTTTGGAAAACAAAATAAAAGATTTTCATTTCCCACCTAATAATTTCAACTGAAGTCAGGACCAAAGTAATGCATATGACCATTCAAATTATATGCAATCTTAAGAAGTTTTGTCTTTTATGAAGCATTACACATACAGTGAAGTCTAAACATAATATTGTTGCAATCACAAAAAAATGTAAAAATAAAAACGTTTTGTTTCTGGCACATACACTTTTTTTGTGTTCCAATGTAGCTCTGGTTTGCACAGTTGAAATAACAGAAAAGTGTACAAATGGGCAATGCCCGATGATAATAAAAATTAAGACACACAGCAAATCACAGACATCCTCATAAGAATGTTTTCTTCACTTCAGCATTGCCAACACCAAGTGTTCAACTGAAGTTTAAGAAAATTGTAAAGCCATATTGTTTCGCAAGTAGGTAGATACAAATAACTTTTTTCAAAATACAACTTAAAGAAATATGATAGAGTAACTTCAAAAAAGATAAAAATACTTCACGTCCGACGTCAGTGAAAAAACTAACCCTTTAAAGCCAATGAATAAAATAAATTGCTAAATTTTTATCACTGTTATTGCTTCCATTCTTCAAACAATAATAAAAATTAAAAGAAATAAACCCATACAAAACTAGGTCCTTGAATTCAGGTATCAGTCCCACTTACCCCACAAGTGAGTACCACTACACTGGGACATAATGTAATACAGCAACAAGTGAATCACACAGTGCCTGAAAACACCTATCCATCCATCAAAGGGTCAAGTTTTAATATGGAGCAAATTTACTACGATCACTTCTGCCTTTGTTTTCACTTCCAGTGCCACCTGGAGAACGCATGCGAGGTTGGTAGGTCTTGTTATGTTGGCGGTGAACACCAGTGGTCTGCACTGGAGATGAACCACTGAGCCCACCAAGGAGTTCGCTCAGGCCTCCGAGGGCACTGAGGCTAGACAGAGCGTTGAGTGCCCCAGGTTTGGCCAGCAGCTGTGCCAAGGGAATTGCAGAGGCGAGGGGAGAGTTGGAGTTGGCAGGGCCACTGGAGTTGGAGCCAGGGTTGTTGTTTCCAGGGGTGGAGGAGTTTTGGGCCTCAAGGTTTGCTTTCTGCAGCTCCACACTGGAGGAACACACACAAAAAGAAAAAAAAAGAATGGCAGTGGGTTTTTGGAACAGGATAAACACAAAATAAGAGGTGAAAAAAATGGACCTAGGATGGAAAAACGGAGTACTGATAGCCAAACCAGGAAACGGGTGTTGGGAGTCCCCAGCTCTTGAGGAGGTAACTTTAGTGAACAAATCACAATTGTGCAACATGTTTATGAAACTCTAACAGCAATCAAATCAAGGTTAATGAGCTTTTGTTATTATGATGCTTTGAATTACTGTTACATAAGAAGAAAGTTTCAAAGGGATCTTTCTTAGATTGGCTATCAGAACAACTTGCATTTAACACTCTAGGAGGCACAAAATTGTCACTTAAAATAAATTCTGAGGCTCTCTACATGTTTGCAGCAAGAATGAATTTAGTTTGATAATATGAATAGTAATAAATTCTACAGACCAATAAGTTAGTCAGTTCATATTTTGAAAGACCATAGTTCATAGTTTAAAATTACTGGTTCTTTCCAAATAAAATGGTTTTGTGCATGGTTCATCTAGAATGCAAAAATGCCTCAAAAGAGAAGAAACATCCAAAGAAAGAAAGAAACGAAAGCAACGAAATAGAGAGAGAGAGTTGTTGGATCAGGATAAGGAGAAATAGAGGTGCATCTGGAACAAGAGGGATAATGAAACATAGAATAATGAGGAAACTGCGCCCAAAGAGGATGTGGAGCCGGGACCAGGACGGCCGGGACCAGGATGCCCACTGTACTAGGAGCCAAAGCCAATCACCAAGTTTTCCACAAATTTTGCATCAAATCAAAGAAATCATTGCAAATAGAATAATTGATTCTTGATCATTTCTTTAGTCTGAAAGCAATCAGGTCTGATTAAGAAAAGTGGTTCAAAAATTACTTGAAATGTCAAGGGGATTCAAACAAGTGGTGATTGGCATGGTCAGGAATGGAGAGTCAGGACCTGGAAACATAGCTTGATATGTTGCAGATGCCACCATGTTGTTTTCACCAAGGTGTCTTCCATTGTTCAAAATTAACTTCTTTCTTCTGCTTTTATAGTCTTACAAACCCATTCATTTCAAGTCCGAGCTAAGTTATTAGTCCACTTCCATAGCAGGTACATAGAAGAACAGATGTCCAAACAGCTATTAAAATGAGCCCAGACTTAAACAAATGAGTTTGCAAGTTGTAAATCAAAGGACTTTGAAAATAAACAAATTAGAGAAAGTTATAGAGCATCACATTACAATGAGAAATAACTAACATGAGCTTAAATACAGATGTTATGGCTAATGTTGTTTTTAAAGCTTGATGTTTTATTTTTGAAAAAGTTGTTTGGTAGCCAGTTTAAGGACAACTGAATGGAGGCCATTCAGACACTTTCTTCATCTATTTGACTTTTGAAGGCTAAGTATCTCATTGTACATAATTGATGCAACTACAAACTTTGATACAGACTACTAGAAAACACACTCTGTGCTAGAATTTTCTGCATGCCCCTCTTTGAAAATTGTACAACAAGAACACGGTTCTTGCAGCCAAAAAATGAAGCATTAGTAATGTTCCCAAAAACACAAGATGTGAAAAATGCTCAATGGTAAAGTAATGTCATTAAATTTTTGAAAGTTACAGAAGATCATCATTGGTGACTCTGTTTTTCCCATTAATTATGGTTTGGTAAGATACAATTTATTTTAAAAGTAAAGTAGACTGAAATGGTTATCTTTTTGTATCTTCCCAGATATTTAGAAGCATTTTAATGGCAACTATTTATCTAAAAGAAACATTTACACAAAAGAAAAGAAATAATCATAGTTTAAAGTCAAAATTAAAAGCAGCAGCTAGATAAATTCAGAGTTGTCTAATTAGATACAGAGCAATTGATAGAATGTGTAGTACAAGGATCACAGTAATATCACAGGTGGCAAGACAATTACTGAACTACACTATCATTGTCTCTCCTCAAAAGCAGCAATGGTGAGGTGGCTGGTGCCATGCCTCTCCACATAACGCAGAAATTACATTGTAGGATCGAATTATTGCTTTAGAGGAGGGTCAATGAAAAAAGGACATTCACTAATACTATAAAAGCAAACCAAAATAGCCTCTAAATCAAGTATGTACAAACTAACATTGGAATTGAGAATCAGAACAAAGTGATGTAATTGGACAAAAGTACGCTTGACAGCAGCATTTGATAGCAAAACGTAGAAAGACCACTTCATTCAGAGGCATGGGAAACAGAACAAAAGAAAAATAAACTTGAAGCAAGCATACATGCTCTAAGCCAAATTGGAGTCTGCCATGATGTCATCCATGCCTAAGGACAGTTTAGTAAAATGCAGAGAGAACATAGAGGACAAAAGAGGATAAGTTCGCTCACACCACACCTGTATGGTAATAATGTTTACAAATACATCTTTGCTAGAACAACTTTCCACCTGTTCAACATTGCTAGCTACTTAAAAGGTAGATGTAAACTTAAGTTAGTTTTCTCTGCCGACCTACACTTGCCCGTTTGCCTTTCAAGCAAACAAAGAGTTATAAGTAATTCCAATGAGAAAATGAACTTACCTCATATTTATGAGATACTGGGCCAAAGCAACAGCATCAGGGTTTCCTGTGATGGTGATGGTACGGTCTGTTGCTCCTCCTTCTCGCTCTTCACAGTTACTGATACGGATCATCGCTCCACTTATTTGTCTAAAAAATTACAATAATCATCTTGACTTAGCAACATGCACATTGAATCAAATTGGCACATAACTTTAGATAGGAACTCACCTGATCTCGGCAATCTTTGTGCCACCTTTGCCTATAATGCAGCCGATGAGTTCATTTGGTACAGTCATTTCATGTGTCTGTGTCCCAGTCTGAGGAGGTGCTCCATTTCCTGCTTGTGCAGGAGGGTTGGCTCCTCCCTGCTGTCGTGTAGGATGGTTTGTGCGTAGCTGGCTGCCAGCTAAAGCTGCTAAAGCAGCTGAAAGTGATGAAACAATTATCAAAATATAAAATATGTAACTGAAAAAAGGATATTTCGGTAAAACATCCTGCGCATTGACTTAAACAAACGTACCGGCAGGGTTGATCCCTCCGGGTGCAGCAGGGTTCAGACCGCCAAGCCCCAGTGCCGCTAATCCGGCCAGAGGACTGCTCCCCATTTTGCCCATCTGTAGGCAAGGCAAAAAAGATACATTATCGAGTTTGAAACAGACAAAGCCTAAGTCACAGTGCATCTAAAGTTTCCTCATTTTCTGATTTCTGCCGCATAGTTTTCCGTGCCAATGTATTAGTTGACCCAATAGTTTGAAAAAAGTTAAACACACCACTAATACCACAGCTTTAAACAGAAATGAGAATGATTTCTCCCTGATTGTTGGATGCAAGTTTGATCAAAACAACTACTGTTAAATAGTTGTCTGCCAATAGCCACTGCACCATAAGTAGCTACAGCTATAACTATCACACATAGTGCAACATGAACATCAATAGCTCAAGGCCACCAAATTCTATTGTCAGTCAAATGAATTTAAATGCAAACCAATCTGAATCTACCTTACTATTCTGTCAAAAGTCAAAAGTCTCAATTAATCCAGAACCCGGGGAAAACAAAACTGGTTGCATTGGCACTTTTTAACTAATATTATGATGTCTACACTTTATATGAGAGCACATAATTGCAACCATTTTCATCTTTGTTTCTGAACAGTCTAGAAATTTTGAAATAAGAATAAGTTTAAAATAATAGAAACAAACTTCATCTCAAAAAAAAAGAAAAAAAAAAAACTCTTGCACCCTAAGCAAACAATTACCCAAAGGTGATGCGGTTGATTATTCAAACTAGTGAATTGTGATTTAATGTAAATATCTAGCAAATAGAATATTCGAAGGTACAGCCAGGTTAACATTTTCACAGCCACAATGCCTTAAAAAATATCAAATATACAAATTTAATATATTTGATGAATCAAAATGCATGTGGCAATACCTACGTCCATACAAATACAGGGAAATAGAAGGGTGTCAATTGAGCAGTGAGCATCCCTTACAGTAAGTAAAATACAAACCAATGCATAGGGGAGACGTACAAAAGAGCAAATGCAAGATGCCATATATGGTTTCCACAACTACAAAATAAATGGGTTTTTTCCATACATGCACACGTTCCTTTATTAAAAATATATTTTACTGAGCAGCCACCTTGACTGATTGTTCTACTGAGAAACCAAAACTGCCTCCAGAGCAGTGCTTCAATGTGCAACTTACCACAAAACCCATTCTCAGGGTAAAACAAAACAAGGATAGACATCATGGCTTGGTATCTTCAGATAAGAGAGAGAGAGAGCGAGAGAGAGAGGAAACTGTGGTGGCATAGTCAGTAACTGGCAGGTTGCTTCCTCAGCTTAATTTACTACTTATGATCTAAACATACCATTTATAGAAAAATTTTAAAAAATTCAAAAGTTATTTGATAAAATTGTGAGCAAGCAACAAGTCAATTTCGAACTGATACCATTGATCTTAGGACTAGGATAAAATAGGCAACGTTGCAAAAGTCCACAGGATATTGTAGGTTCTTATAACATAAACTCTTACAAAAATCTTTAAAAACATAAATTTTAAAAAATCCTTAAAGGAAAAAGGGAAAAAGTTACCTGAACAGCAAGTGGACTATCACAATGTTCCAAATATGATCTTAAATCTAGAAATAGCCCGGCTGGCCTCCAATGGAACTCTTTTTGCCCTCCACCCCTAACAGCTCAGGGGAATTGACATGCTTTTGTATGGCATGTTAAGTTTTAACTAAGTAGATAAAAGTAAGCCAACATGTTCACAATGATGACTTGTATTCGGACAGATGTAATTAACATTACCATATGACAGGTGAGGCCAAGAGAAGACACAGCTCCCATTTCATTAAAAGGAAGTGGCTCACTGCATCAGCATAACAATCATGCAAAATTGTCATCTTTTTTTTCTGCATTCTTTCTATGGCAAAAGGAATAAAGGCAAACATTATGCAGAGGGTTTCCTCAATCATTTCAAACTCCTAGAGGGATGTGGACGGAGATGGTGGCATGGTAGGGGAGGGCAGAGTAGGGCTGGTAGGGCGCGAGGGCAGGGGAGGGCAGGGGAGGGCAGGGGAGGGCTGGGGACGGCAGGGGACGGCAGGGGAAGACAGGGGACGGCAGGGGAGGGCAGGGGAGGACAGGGGAGGGCAGGGAGGGCAGGGGCGGGCATGGTTAAGAGGAGCGATGGACAGCATGGTGGGGTGTGAGGTCTGCAGGAAGGTGCTTGTTAGGTAGGCAGGAAGACTTTGTGGCATGAGTCAGCACATCTCAACGCAACTGGAGGGCTGACTTACAACACCAGGCCAGTACTTCCAGGATGAACGGGCACCAAGCCATGAGGATAATATTAAAACTGTGGTTTGTTCTGTCCCAGATTATTAAGCTGTTTGCAAGATGTATGAAAGCAGAATAATTTTGAATAATATTTGATATTGCATCAGTGGCTGGTTAATTATGATATGAATATAAGTAAATCAGAATGGTATTAAAAAGTCTCAGATTAATAAAATAAAATAAGTCATATTAAAAAAGAAGATACAGAAATGAACATACATTTTTTAAAACACTAATGCACACAGAACACTCAAGATGAAATAGCAGAAAGCATGCTCTACTAAGAAAGTGTGAATTTCTTCTGAGGATAGTCATTTAAAATTTTCCTTTCTGCTCTACGGTGTGTGTGTGAAAATGCACTGCAAGTATTAAACGTTGGATAGGAAGCCTTATAAAAAGACAACATACTGTCCATATCACTGATCATGTTAAAAAACAGAAAAAGAACTTTAAATGTGTGAAAAATGCAAACACTCCAATTTATAAAACCATAGACTGCAATGTGTTGCTACTAAAACAGCACACTTAACAAGATGCCTGTCTGATAATAAGTTTTAACACTTGCAACTCAGCCCACCCATAATAAACTGACAAATAGCAATTGCAAAAGTAATTATTGTGATAAGAGCTAAAAGCTACAAGTGCTATTGTAGCTGCTGAATTCTAGTGAATGATCAACTAAATAGCAACGCTCAATCCACACACTGATCCAGTGGAATGATAGTAAGTTTTCCTTTCAAAATATTACAATTAATTAATCTTAACCTGCCATTCCATTAAAACTCTGCAGAACTCAGAACTCTGCAGAAAGGGATGGGGAAACAAGTTACAGTCAAATTAAGCTTAAAAACCTATTTTTCAGAGATGATCACCTTTTGAAATAGAAATATTACATACATGTGCAGTATGTATAAATTGACTCTTTGTTGTGATCTGTGGATGGACAAAGTAGAATTTTAAGAGAATGTTTTGTCCAAGATACTTACAACTACCATTATCTAATTTTAACCATGATAGATTGGTGACACTTTTAACACCTTCTGCATTTGATATCAATTCCATTTACTGACTTTCTTCCATTTTGTATAAAGAAGTCTTAGATAGTGGAACTCTTAGATACTCCATATACTCTTGACAGGAGAATTAAAATAAATGAAGCTAGAGGTCAAATTCAAAAGGGATAAACAATTATTTTGGAAACCTATCCCAAGCAGACACAAACAATTTTGCATGAAATGATGGACAAAAGGCATACAGCACATATCGTAGCAAAGTATCATGATGCCCTTTTGAAGTGACAATAATCAATTGAGAAAACAATGTTACTTCCAAGGTTTCTGGCTTGAACATTACTGACTTTTTCCGTTGTTTCCAATAAATCCCTTCAAGGTGTTCCAAATCAGCCCAATGCATGCACACAGGACTACTACCCAGGTTTGAATGTTGCATGGCAGGCAAAGATGTCAAAGTCCAAATGATTCCCACTAAACAAGTGAAAATGAGGTTGTGGTACACAAGGATCCGCATGTATGAATAGTTTTAGAAAACCAAATGCAATCTATGAGGACTACAAAGCAGAGTGGGTAATGATGATTGAGCATTCTGGATTCTACAAAAAAACCCTTGACCAAAATTGCCATGAGGCAGTCAAATGGGGGACCAAACGTCCACTATATTTTCCTTTTCTCATTTTGTTAGTGAAAATTAGAATTAAAACAATTTGCATTCCACAACTTAAATGTTTTAATGATGATGGCAAAGGCCTTCACAAGTCAGACTGAGGTCTAAATTAAACAAATTTAAAAAAAAAAACAGAATAAAGAAATAAAAACTGAATGAATGAAAAACTCACGGCAATTCGTGCAAGGACGAAAGGCAAGGGGAGAGGGAGGGGCGGCGGGACAGAACAACTACAGGTATTACGTCAAAGTGCACTGCAGGGTCATACTGTTTACAGGGTGGCAAAGACCGGAGGCCGGGAGCCAAAGGCAGCCAAAGGCCAAAGGGGAAACACGAGGGACATGAACATGAACATGGCAACGGGGCGGTAGGTGGGTGGACCGACTTAAGGCAGGGGCAGTCTTCACTTACGTCACACGCTGCTGCTAGATGGGCGGGTGGAAGGGCAGCGGCCAAGTGTCCGTTCTTCAGCAGAGGGTCCATCAGCCCTGAGTGGGGGTGGGGGGCCAGCAATTGGGGGGGTATGGGGGCGGGGGCGAAGAGACCCAGGGGAGGCCCGGCCGGGTGTTGTTGGTACAAGCTGCTGCTACTTACGTCGCCGTGTGTGGGGACCGCATAGTTACCCTGGATGGTGTAGGCCTGACCGCCGGCCAGGATGACCGGCCCGGCCACCTGAGGCTTGGGGCGGTAGGGGATCGTGGCGCCCTTGGGCGGGGACTGCAACAAGAACGACGACACGCACAATGGACGGGTTGGACTCGAGCCGCGGGGCCGCGGGGCCGCGAGGCCGCCAGACTGGTCGCGACGGCTAGCCACCTACCTCTAGCATCACCATGCAGATGTGGTAAATGCACTGGGTGACGGCGTCGCCCGTGCCGGTGATGGTGACGGCGCGCTCGGTCGAGTTGGGCAGCATGTCCGAGGCCACCTGGATGGAGGCGCCCGTCACCTCGCGGATCTCCTTGATCTTGGAGCCGCCCTTGCCGATGAGCGAGCCGCACTGCGAGGCGGGCACGATGAGCCGCAGCGTGATGGGCGCGCGGGGCACGGCCGCGTTGGCGTTGCCGTTGGTGCCCTGCATCTCGTGGAACTGCAACAGCGCGACCAGCCCGTCACACATCAGCACCGCGACGACCGCGACCCGGACGCAGGCCCCCAACTACGGGGTGCGTCATGCCCGGCCATGCCTCACCTCCTCCATCTTCTTGCTGATGAGGGTGAAGGCCTTGAAGATGGCCTTGGTGGCGCCCGTCACGGTCACGATGCGTTCGGGACACGACCCATCGGAGATGTTGATCTTGGCGCCCGACTGCAACAGAAAACAGGCAAACAGTCTCGCCACGGCTCGGCAGCCTCGGCCGCGTGGCGCCAGCCGGCGCCAGCAGTGCACTCACCTCCTCTCGAAAGCGTTTCACGATTTCACCTTTCTTGCCGATGATGCTGCCCACTTCCTGCAACAACCAGAGAGGGACGCACTTTTAGAGACAGAGCAATGTTTGTCCAGGTTGACGACTTAGAAACTCTTTATCGCTGTTGGCAAATGCCTTCAAACATCCACCTGGTAGAGGTAGCATGGAAGGAGTCCCTTGGGACGCGCGAGTCCGCGGGTGCGAGTTTTCCCTTAGCTGCCTCGCAGCTTCCCCCTTTCCCCTCCCCGCAGCCAGGCAGGCAGCAAGGTAGGCAGCCCGGCAGGCAGCAAGGTAGGCAGCCAGGCAGGCAGCCCGGCAGGCAGCCCGGCAGGCAGCCCGGCAGAGCGCCAGGCTCAGGCTCCCCAACCAGGTGCGACCATTCCCAGCCAGGCCCGCAAGAGGGCCGCAAGACCGCCGCGGTCACCTGATCCACCTCAAAGCCCCGGGACCACTTCCTGTTCGAGCCGCGCCGCCGCGCAGCGTCCAAACGCAGCCACAGTGCCTCAGTTGCCTAGAGTCAGGCGGGGCCGGGCGCCGGCCGGGCTTGGCCTGGGCGGGGTGCGACGGGGCGGGGCGGGGCGGTACAGGGTGGGGTGGGGCGGAGTAATTAAAGACCCGGGTAAAAGCGGATCCAGCCAAGGAGGCCGGCGCGGCCGGCGCGGACGGCGCGCGAGGGAGAATGCCTGGTGTCCTGCGCAGCGCAGCGCCGCCCCTAAACAATGTCGCAGGACACTCGTCGAGGGGGCTGCTGGGCGCACTATATTTAGGCCGGGGCAAGACTGCGTGCGCCGCGCCGCACCGCCACGCCCTGCCGTGTCGCGCCGTGACGTGCCGTGACGCGCCGTGGCGCCGAAGGGACGCGCGGCAATCACATCGAGTGCGCGCCGGGCCCGCGGTGCGCCGTGGCGGGGCGGGGCGGGGCGTCCGCGACGTCCTAGCGACCCGCTCGACCCCGCCACCGCGAGGAAGGAAAGGGAAGGGGGCGTGGCGGCTATTCGCGCGTTCACCCCGCGAACCAAACGGCGGGCATCGTGTCCGCGGCGTGGCAATAAACACCGCGACAAACAACAGCATGCACTTGGGGTGACCGCCTCGCCTGCCCGGCCGCCGCGCCGACCCCCCGCCCCGCCCCATCTCGCGGCCGTCGAGCACCTGTTCCCAGACGTCGCCGCGACCACCAGGACGACGACGACCAACAAAAGGGACTGGCGGACTGGCGCGAGTTTCGCCGCGGTAATTTATCTGACAGTGCGCGCACAGGTAAGCGAGCTGATTTTGCACGCACGCCACGCCACTGGTGTCAAGCCACTGGCGCCACGCCCCGCAACGGCCTCTCAATCCGGAGGGCGGCGCGCGACGTGCGACGGCCCGCTGCACCAGTACAGTCAGGGCAGTGAGTTGGGTACAGTGAGTGCTGCGTTGCCACTGGGTCGCGAAAGAGCGCCTGGCGCCCGGCCGACGGCCACAATCGAGTACAGCAGGGAGGCGGCCGGGCAGCGCGTCGGCCGCGGGGGCGGCAGAGGCAGCAGTCCGCCTTTGGCTGGTCTTCTCCGTCTGCTCCGCCTAGAGAGGGACCTTCTTAGCCAGCAGCATCAGCACGTCGCCCCAGAGACAACACGGGCCGCGTCGCCGCGTCGTCGCAGAATGTAATCGGGCCGCGACTAACTCAGTCAACTGAGTGACTGAGTGCGAGCGCCAGGCCCAGGCCAGGCCATTGTGCGCGCCGGCCGGGTATTTCAGTCTCTGTCGCGCCAAGTCGAGCCAGCAGCCCAGCGGCCCGCGCCAGTGCACTTCCTCGACCGACGCGGCCAGGCCGCGGCCTCGCACACCGCACAGCCCGCTGGCGCTTCCAAATGTCACTCCCAATAGGTCCTCTAGGAATTGGGCCCAGGGCAGTCGCGGCGCGGCGCGGCACGGCGCGACGATCTCGTTCGCGAGACAAAAAGAGAGGAGGCCGCCGCCGGCGCGCCCCGCCCCACCACCGCGCAGAGAGCCCAGGGCAGGGCCCCGAGGCAAGGGCCTTGCGGCTGCGGCACTGCGCGGCACTGCGGCGGTCAGGCGCGTATCGAGTAACGACGAGTGCGACCAGTCCGTGTGACGCGGCCGCGCGGCCCGTAGCCCGGGGCAGGGCGCATCGTGGCGGGGCGGGGCGGGGCGGGGCGGGGCGGGGCGGGGCGGGGCGGGCGGCGACTGGCGGTCGCAGCAGGCGGTAGGCCGTTAGTGGTCTGTTTGTTCTTCATCATCTTCCAACTTCTCCTGCCCACAGGGCGGGCAGGGCCGGCAGGCGGGGTCAGGCAGTTACCGGGGCGGCGGGGCTCTCCCAGCGCCGCCAAAGAGTCTGGAGCGAGGGCAACACTGTTTGCAGTCCACTGGGAGCTCGGCGGCCCTCTCAGAGGCCCGCCGCCTCTTTTGCATGCACTACTGCCTGCTCTTTGGCACACTGTTTTTGAGAGTGGCTGCGCCGCGATGCGCGATGCGCCGCGATGCGCCGCGCGGTGCAACGGACGACGGCGACGGCCGGCGATGCTGCCAATGCGGACCTGACCCGGTCAGCGCGCAGCTCGGCGCGCAGCTCGGCGCAGCCTAGCCAGCCTGCCAGGCCTAGAGCTAGGCCGACTGACTGGCATAACTGACCCGGCGGCCAATGCCCCCGCCAATGCCCCGCGTCCACGGCGGCACGGCGGCACTGCACTGCGGGACGGCCGCGCGGTCTTGCAGTGCAGGCTGCAGGCTGCACGCGGCATTCCGCACCTGCCCCGTCATCGAGGAGTGCCGGAGCGAGAGCGAGTCCAGTCTGGGGCCGGCCGGCCACGCGGCCACGCCCCTTGCGGCCCAAGGCGGGTAATGGCTCCGCCGCTCCGCAGCTCCGCGGCCCGCGGCCTGCCACGGCCCCACTCCACTGCAGTGCCATCAGGGCCGCCGCCGTCCCAATAAGGCGTCGCATCGACTGGCCGGCCGCGCCAGCGTTTCGTCGCTCTCTCGTCGTCTCTCTCGCGCGCAAAGGGAGCGCCCCGCGAGTGCGACAGAGACAGAGAGCCGAATGCGACGCAGTTCGGAATCGCTCTGCTGAGGAGCCAGCGCCGCAAAAGGCCTCGGCCTGCGAGTCTGCCGGTCTGCCGCGGCGCCTCGGGCAGCGGGTCGCACCGCACAGTGGCGTGGCGTGGCGCGCAGCCACGCACCGGCAGCCTCAACTGGGGCACGGCCAGCACGGCCAGCGCGGCGCGTCGCGTTGCCGCCAATTGGCCGTCCAGAACGGGCATCAAGTGTCGACCGGCCCGGCCCGTCGTCACGCACCTCCGGGATCGACAACCAGCGCGTCCCCAAGCCCCGGCAGGCCCCCTTCCCCGACGCTGACGTCAGCCGCGAACCGGCGTGCGGGCCGCGGCGTGGCCTGGCGGTGGCGACGCAGTCAGGTGCCCGCGTGGGTCTCGGCGACGACCGCCGAGGGCGTCATCAGCCACGAAGATCTTTCATCCACAGCGAGCGCCCCCGCCACGCCCCGCGCGGCGGACCCTAAAGTCTTCATTTCGGAGAGAGGGGAACACCGCGGGAAATTCGGGTGCCAGGTCCCGGAGGTGTGCGCGCCGCACTGCCGCACCGCGCGGCCCTCGCATGCCTGGTGCGCCCTGGAGGTCCTGGAGAGCCCCAGCATGCCCGGCACCGCAGGGGCGCGCAGGGCGGCCCGCTCCAAGGGCACAAAAGGCGCGAGCACGCAGCATAAAAGGAATGGCTGTGTGTGTGAGAGAGTGAGCGAGAGAGAGAGGTTGTGAGTGTGTGTGTGCGTGTGTGTGGAAGGGACAAGGGGGAAATTGCGAAGGGCGAGGTGGAGGAGAAGAAGTGGGAGAGGCCTGGGGTCGTCGGGAGGGCGACTGGGCAAGAATCGGCAAGAATTAAAAGGACGCCTCAGCCTGGCGGCCCTGGCGGCCCTGGCGGCCTCCCTAGCGCTGCCTGCTAGCAGCTTATTCCCACCCCGGGGGGAACAGAACAGGAACAGGTAACCCTGGCAGCCCGCTGCGCGCTGCGCGTCGACGCCGCACCCCGGCGCCGCTCCACGCATAATTACTACCGTCACGAATTCTGGGCTTAAGAGAGCAGAAAGAGAGGGGAAAAGCGGAAGCGAAGAGGGCGGCGGAGGCGACGGGGACCGAGGGGACAGACAGAGAGAGGGGAGGGGGGGGGGGAGAGCGCGCGGTTCAATCCACTTTTATTTTCCTCCCCCTTTGGGGGCAGCAGGGGAGCCCCCCCCCCACAACCAAGTTCCTTTCCAAACTTCCACCTTTCCGGGGTTTTTAAAGAGAAGCCGGGCAAAAAAATAACGGGATCACCCTCTGGACACGCGCGCCCGCGCCGTGCCTACCTCCCCGGCGGCGCGCGGGTAGCAGCAGACTGAGTGGGAGTCGTTTTAGTCGCTGTCTCTCTCTCGCCTATAAGGGACGCCCCATGAGAGCGAGAGAGACAGAGCGAGGAAAACGACTCTCGGAATCAGTCTGCAGGCCGGCCGACGACGAAGACTCGAAGCCGGGCGAGGCGGCTGCCTGGCGGCTGCAGAGGCTGCTGTGTGACTGCGAGACGAAGTGCCGAAGCCAGCGCACTGTAACAGCCCATTATTTGGCGTCGCAGCGCCGCGGCGCCGCGGACGAGCAAGGCCTAGGTCTGCAGGGCCTGCAAGACGGCGCGGCGTGGGGGACGCGGCGGGGATGCGTGCTCAAAACGAAGCCTAATTGCTTCATTGGGTTTCAAGAGCACGCCCGAGCACGCCGCCAAACCGCGCGCCGCGCACACTTCCCCGCGGCGGCGGCACGGCGGCACGGCCACCACCAGCACGACGTCCCACTATGCGAACAGCCCCTCGCTTTTCACAAAGTCGCACGCCCTAACTTCGTTAGAATCCCTATTATTTTATTAAATTATTATTTTCTTTACCGTGTGGGTGCGCGCGGCGGCGGGCGGGCGGGCGGGCGAAACACGGCTGCTAACGAGATTTGCCAGCAGTGCAGAGGAAGACCCTGAGCCAGCACAACCGGCACAGCCAGCACGGCCAG